CAGATGCCACCGCAACAATCGAAGCAATCAAGCCATGCAATGCCATGCTGACTACCACCATTGACATTGATTGATGCTACCAGAATTGATGCCACTGCAGCATCGAATCAACCAAGCCAAGCAATGCCATGCTGACTACCACAATTGATTGATGCTACCAGAATTGATGCCACTGCAGAATCGAATCAACCAAGCCAAGCAATGCCATGCCGACACAGTAACGGCCTCCCCAGCGTCTTTGCAAACACGAGTGTGCTCTGACAGTCATGCGGACTGGAGACTTCTTTAAATGCCACCCCCATTCGGCCAAGATGGGGTCACCCTGCTGAGTATGCGCCGTCTTTGCCCTATGCGGAGCGCTGAAATCCGATTGCCTTGCATACCGGCCCGCAAGAGGACAGGTCATGCTCGTCATCGAGTGCACCGGAATCGCTGCGCAACGCGCCGGTTACTGAAGACCTGTCAATGAGGCACAGCATAAGATGCCATGCGGGGCCATGCCGGCAAGCAGCAGTGATCGAAGTTAATACTTCGACCGTGGTGTGGGTACGTGGCATAGTATTTATTAATAGTAGCGAGGCCTTCCCTGCAATCTGTGTGCATTTCACCCCGCGGCGGACACACCACCTGGCTGGACAGGCGAGCAGCACACAGAGTAAATCCCCAGCGCCCGGCCAGCGACGCTGTCCCGCACGGATCAAGGACCCATTGCTCACGTGGTCCGAGCCCGACTGGAGCGGTCTCTAAGACCACTCTGAGCTTGGGCGTGCAGGATGGGTAGGGCGAGTCGAACCAAGCCAAGCAAGCCAAGCAAGCCAAGCAAGCCAACCAAGCAACCAAGCCAACCAAGCAGTGGCACGTGACAAAGGACCACGTTTCAGCTTCCAACACATCCGGCTTGGACAGAAGCGAACACCATCGCTCAATACATCCGGCTTGGACAAATGCAAAAATGTTTGGCAAAAAAGGGTTTCCTCACGCTGGCTTCCCAGTGTGCTTTAAAATGTTTTGGTCAACGGCCGTGCCCCCGGCACTGAAATTCCTAATAAAATACATAAATAAGCTAATACTACAACAGCTTGAAACCTTAAATCGGTATATTGAACTGCACTATTGAGGAAATTGGTTTTGGCCTTCAAACCCCCCTGATCCAGCCCCCAAGGATCCAACCCTCAAAACGAGTGTGTGGAATTATATGTCCTAGCACCCATTCGCCCATTCACCAATTGGGGCAACTGATGATACACCACATCAGCATCGTCCGAGCGATCGACCTAGCAAGCACACACGCCTCGCGCCCGGGACTATCATGTGCTCGGAGCGGGACTACGGGCGCTGCAGCCGGTGACATGCCCATCTCACATTGTGCATCGCAATGGGCAACATGTGGCGCTTATTGAAGGATTCCCTGCGGGTAAGTATACGGCATTGCTGCTCCGATTGTTGAAGCGGCTCACGAGAGGTCTCAGACCGCAGCACTCGGCCACATCTTGAGAATGTATCCATCCACACGTAAGACGGATGGTAACGTCCCCCCGGAGACGGCAGACCAACCGGATTGGAATTTCTGGGCACTCGACTGATGCACACAGGAGGCATAGCACAAGATCCCGCAAGATTCCGACGAGTCAACAGACACCTTCCTTTGTCGAATAGCCCGTGATCAACGCTGCAGCCTCGGCTGGCTCAGAATCCACGGAGACGGCAACGAGCTCTCTTCGGAGGTGATCACCGCAAGATATCGGAGCCACTACTGCGAGGAGCTCAACGATACAAATTCTTCCTGGGAGACCACGGCGACATGATCACTGCTGAAACCAGCGAAAAGTGGGTCGCCTCAGCCGAGGAGGTGATCGCCGGGCGCTGCACTCCAGTCAAAGCCCCAACCCTCACATCCAAGCGCAGGCCCGTGGCGAGCGATCCAGCGGCCGGAGATGCGAGAGACGGCGAGCCATGTCCCAGGATGAAGACAGCTGCCCTGATCTCAGTAGCCCCCAGATCCGGATCCGGGACGAATGCTGGCTGCAATCGTCTAAGCATCTCCAATTCCAGTGCCTCCTGATCCCAATGTCGAGTGGACCGCCACATAGCGGCCGAGCTGTGTGTCCCCTGACTCATCGGGGATCGTCCGAGGGCGAGAGCACATACCGAGCTGGTGGGAACGACATAGAGAACACTTCCAAGCCCGAGCTGCAAAGCTGAACGATCAAAAATCTCCGGGCGATGGCCTGCAACCAAATTGGCCACGGCGTCACCCGATCGCGGCTACTCTATCGAACGACGATTGATCCCGAAATTCCAGCCCACCTTGCCGAAATTTCACAACTGTGCGTCCGTCTGTATATATATATATATATATATATATATATATAGATATAGATATAGATATAGATATAGATATATAGATATATATATAGATATACATATATAGATATATATATATATATATATATATATGTATGTATGTATATATGTACGTATTTTTTTGTTATGTATAATATTATATGTATATATGTGTGCATATATATAATCATCGGCATTGACTTAATTATGTATCGCGTTATGTATAATTATGCATTTGTGTATACATACGCACATGTATATGTATACATTTACTCATATATGCATACATACATACATACATACATACATACATACATACATATAAGTGTGTGTGTATATAATATATATATATATATATATATATATATATTATGTATGCATATCCCTTTCTCTGTCTCTCTCTCTCTCTCTCTCTGCACACACATACATCCACGACCTTCCGGGATGCAGAAGGGCTTCCGGGCTTTCTGTCAGGAATTTCAGCGGATTGCCGCAAACACCGCTGAAATCCTAAAGTTGGCGGTCTGCCGGCGTGCAGCTCCCTCAGCCGTGGCCTGAGGTGTGTGCGACGGCGGAGGTGGCGGTGACTGGCCGAGCCTTGAGTCCCAAGATGACGCGAACGGCTGAATGTGAGTTTACTGACTGAAAACCAACGGCTCGATTCAGCAGTAATCCCTAGTGACGAGAACCGTGCACACCTGCTGGGAGGTCCTACAGAAGTCTGCCTCAATTATGCTCCTGGGCACTCGATGAACCCGAGATCAAGAGCCCAAAAACCTCTTGCTGACCCTGCAAGACGTGCCGGAGCATCCCCTCGACCGGCCCGGAACCGGTATCCTGGGAGTACCTGCAAATGCTGGAGCGCTGTGCACTGGGCTTGATGCTTCCGGCAGCATGGCTGTTGACTCGTGAAGTGCTTCAGGACTTGTCGTGCTTCTTCCGGCCCGCCCGCAGCGCTTGTGTGGAAAGAGCCTATCGGAACCTTCGGAACTTAGCAATGAGCTTCACCTATGGCACAGGGGCACATAGCCATCGGTGTCTGCCCTGGGAGCCTAGGTAGGACCCCTGTTGGCTAATGTCTCGCAAGAAAGAACTCTACTAACATGGGCGAGGCAAACAGGCCCAAACCCTTGAGTGGAAGGAGTAGGTGTCCCTATGGGAAACGCATCCCGGACCCGCCCAAGGCTTGGGAGAATGCTGGTTCGCAGGCGTAGACGGCTGGGAACTTCCTGCGCAAACCGTGCATGCACTGTAGAATCTGTAGAACAAGAAGAAGAACAACAACAGCAGCAGCAGCAATAGCAACAGCAACAGCAACAACAACAACAACAACAGAAAAAAACAGCAACGGCAACAACAAGGAAGGCGTTGCGTCTGCCGCCGCGCGGGGTGTGTGGTTTATGTTTGGGAGGTTTTTTGCTCACAAAGCTAGAAAACCCCGCTTTTTGAGTGGTTTTCATGAACAAGACGATGTATCGGAAGGTAAAATTTGTGGAGTTCTTTGTCTTGTGATTTTGGTCTGGTTTTTGCGGAAGTATCGCAAATACCGGGTTTTCCGTGTTTGATGTATGTTGATTTTCCTGCTAAATTTGGAAGTTGTTGTCTGGAAAGCTTGAAAAACTCGAGGTTTTTTGATGGACGTTTCCAAAGCGAAGTAACAAGAAACGGGAAGCACCAAGGGACATAGCAACTGGTAGCATTTGAGAAGTAACGCAACCAAAGAAACAGAAGACACAAGCCGCATTCGCATGGACGTCATCATCCCCCCCTCATCCCCCCCCCACCCCCGCACAGAGCTGAAAGACAAATTGCAAGTTTAAGCTGGCATGTACACAAAGTCGAGAATCGGCAAAAGCACCGTCAAAACCAATGCGAAATGCGACACATAGGAAACAACAAGAGAAACAGAAGACACAAGCCGCGTTCGCATGGACGTCATCATCCCCCCCCCCGCCCCCCCAAGCCCCGCACAGAGCTGAAAGACAAATGCAAGTCGAAGCCGGCATGTGCAGAAAGTCGAAAGTCGGCAAAAACACTGCAAAAACCGATCCGAAATGGGAGAGAGACAGGAAAACACCGAAAAAAACGATGCGAAATGCAGAGCCGAACAAAAGTTTGCCGAGTGGAGCCCGCCGGCGCGGTCACTTTTTTGGTAGAAAACACCGCAAAAACCGATGCGAAAGCAAAAGCAAAGTTAAATGTCAGGTGAACAAAGTGCCAAACTCGAGTTTCAGCGCATGCCAGCAGAGGAATTGCACCACCCCGCGCGGCGGCAAACGCAACACCTACCGACAACAACAACTACGACTGCGACAACAACTACGACTGCGACTGCGACTGCGACTGCGACTGCGACTGCGACTGCGACTGCGACTACGACGACGACTACTAACAATAATAGGCATAGGAATAATTAAAACTACTACAAACTCCTCCTCCTGCTCCTACTGCTCCTGCTCCTGCTCCTACTCCTACAGCTACTGCTACTGTTACTGCTACTGTTACTGCTACGGCTACAGCTGCTGCTTCTGCTTCTGCTTCTTCCACTGCTACTGTTGCTGCTGCTGCTCCTGCCACTGCAACTGCTACTGCCAAGCACCGATGTGACATTATCCGAGAATCACAAAGCCTAAGGCCGTAGACTAGACTCGAGGCACCTGATGGGGCTGTCGGTGGCATGTGAGGTGCAGCATGCGCAGGTGGAGGATGCTGCGGCGCATGCATCCTCAGATCTTGCAGGAGGAGGCCTTCTCCGCTTGGGTGCAAGCTTGTCACGATTTTTAATACGTTCAACCATACACCCAATCGCCACGGAAGCTGGATGCTGCCTATGCGCAGATCACGATAGTTTGGGGTTGAGTTGTGTTGCAATGGCGTGGGACCGGACCAGGGACATCATCCGAACTCTTAAACACCCTCTGATGCACTCGACGGAAAAATCTCGGTCAATGCTACGTAAGTTGCAAAAGTAAAGCCGCACGAAAACTGTCGCGCTTCACTTGCTGCGGCCAAGCGGCGCTTGGGGAAATTGTTGGAATTGCTGCTGTGGCGAGTTCGCTTGCTGGTGCTGCTGCTGTTGCATGTTTTGCTGGAGGTGGTGTTGCATGTGCTGCTGCTGGTGCAAGCCGTCCTGCTGTTGCAGGCCACTCTGTTGCTGCTGAAGACTGCTGTGCTGCTGCTGTTGCAAAGTCTGCTGATGCTGCTGCTGCTGCTGCTGGATATGTTGTTGCTGCTGTTGCAAGTTGTGCTGTTGAAACTGCTGTTGCAACAGCTGCTGCTGCTGCTGCTGTGCCTGCTGTTGTGCCTGCTGCTGTGCCTGCTGCTGCGCCTGCTGCTGTGCCTGCTGCTGTGCCTGCTGCTGCGCCTGCTGCTGTGCCTGCTGTTGTGCATGTTGCGCTTGCTGCTGCGCTTGCTGCTGCGCCTGCTGCTGCACTTGATGCTGCGCTTGCTGCTGTTGCTGCTGCATGTGGTGCTGCTGTTGCTGCTGATGGTGAAGCATGCTATCTTGTTGCTGTTGCATGCTCTGCAAGTGCTGTTGATGTTGCTGCTGGAGGTTCTGCTGGTGCTGTTGTACGTTCTGTTGTTGTTGAAATTGTTGTTGCAGCAGCTGTTGCTGCTGCTGGTGTTGCTGTTGCTGTTGTTGCTGCTGTTGCTGCTGCTGAAATGCTTGTGGCGTCACTTGCGGCGATTGCATTTGCTGCTGCTGCTGCTGCATCTGTTGAGGCGGAACTTGTGGTGGAATTTGCTGTGACGGGAACTGGGGTGCGGGTATGGATGATTGTGGTGGATACTGTGCTTGAAACTGCTGAAAGGGCTGCGATTGCAGCTGCTGTGGTTGAAACGGAGCGTTTGGTTGGGGTGGGTATGGTGCTTGTCCTTGATTCTGTGGGTAAGACTGCAGCTGCGCCATGCCAGGCGATTGCTGTGCAGGTGGGAACTGCTGGAAATGTTGGGCCTGAGCGTTGAATTGCTGCATGTGCTGCGGCGACATCGTCGGAGACATCTGCCTGGATAAGGTCGCACGCACGTTCTGATCATGGCTGCAACTAACTGCCGCGCAGCTGATCCTCCTGAAACCTCCGAAGATACTATCAGTGCCACGACTAGAGAAGCCAGAGTGGCTTCCATCTTGCATCGTGCCCTGACCTTTGCCAGACCTGCAACCACCTGAACCCCTCCAGTAGTCTCGCGGGCCCGGAAATATCCCTTCCTGAGGCTTTTGGTGCGAAGCCGAAAGAAGCTTCAGCCAGAAAGGCCACAAAAAGAAGCATAAGTTGCATAGGTTGCCTAAGCGTCCGGCCCTCCGCGTGGCTGCAGGTTCGGCCCCGCAAACTGCGGCGAGGCCGGTGGCCCGGCCTTGCTCGTGGGCGAAGGCCTCAGCGCACATGAAGGGTGTCTCCACGAAAGGGAGAGCCCCGTTTGAACGAAAGGCGGAGGCTTCCGTTGGCCGATGTTGTCCCACCATGCGTGAATCAGGCACGATGGAAATTGCCTGAAGACTGTTAAAACGGGGCCGAATGAATTTGCTGCTATCATTATGGTCGTTATGCGTGGTCATCGTGCTTGTCATGTAGACTTGCCACAGTCCTGACATAGATCATGGTCGCTGTGGTGGTGGTGGTGGTGGTGGTGGTGGTGGTGGTGGTGGTGGTGGTGGTGGTGGTGGTGGTGGTGGTGGTGGTGGTGGTGGTGGTGGTGGTGGTGGTGGTGGTGGTGGGTGGGTGGTGGTGGTGGTGGTGGTGGTGGTTTTTTTTTTTTGGGGGGGAGGGTGGTCTGCTGCCTGAAAGTCCCGTCTGAAATATCTACGAACAGTGCAGCTGGGTAACGTCGACAGCACCTGCATCTGTGGGGACCTGGGGCTGCATTGGGGTAGGATTTATGTGGCTTCAATCGGTCTCTCAAACGTCTAGAAAGGGATCCTGGCCTGAACAGCCCATTCCTTACCATACCCGTGCAACATTGCAGAGGTCAGAAGTCATCAATCTACACTGGGGCAATCAAAACGCCATCTGCTGCTGTATGACTTGTAAAACATGTTTCGACTGGCTTTGCAAATTCAGGCGTATTCAACAAATATGATTTTCGAACGGCAAACACCTATAGTCTGTAGTCAAAAAGCTGACCAGCGACCCTTACACATGTACTTCAACTTAAGAATACAGTGGGCCGTACATAGCAAAGTTGTTCACTGATTGGGATGATTGTGCCCAGGTCAAGCACGAATTCTGTCTCATCAGTGCAACTGACCCAGTCCGCAGACTCCTGTCATCGCCTACGATATTCGAGACATTACTGTCACACAGCTGTGCAAACCAATACAACTTATGGTAGGCTGCAGTGTCTGCCATCACTACCACTAGCATCACGCAATATTACGCACATGAGCCCATCACTGAGAGCACCGGCCACAGTCACAGCTGAAACCCGCAGCCCGCCCTCGGTCTGGAGGAATCCCTGAAACTGCTGTCGGCGGAAGCCGCGATGTCAAGCCAACCCTGGCCATACTCCAGAGGCCTGCTAATCAATCACATCGACATCAACTCTTCATGCCATGATGCTGAGTCCCGCGAACGAGCTGAAGCTGCGGCTGCTGGTAGTTAGTCACCCTGAGACATACGGAATTCTCCACAAGTGTGGGGACGGAAGTCTCGGAGCTGTCACTGCTCAATGCAGGCAAGTGTCTGCGGCTGCATCCCCGAACTCATCTGGACAGACCTGCGGATATTGCGGATTGCAAGCGGCGACTAAGCTTCAACTCGAGGCATCGCTTCTTTGCTGCTCTGTAAACCCCTCCAACTCCAAAGACAACCGTCGTCGGCCATCATGCTCCCAGCTGAGCAGCTCTTGCCCTTGTGGATGGACATGAACTGCTGGCACCGGCCTGGAGTCTCAGGATTTCGTGTAGGCGTGCACAACTGGTAGCAACCAGTCTGCAGATGCAGACTTGAAGTGCACTACTGCTTGATACCAATAGGCTACAGCATGAGATACGAACGCTCGTGACGAACTCAATGAACGTGCAAGCGAACTGTGCGCTTCGGCTAGTGAGTAGCGGTGGGGTAGACTTTGAAGCTTCATGCCCGAATGCACAAAGGTCTGCCAAGGTCACCAACAATGACTCCTGTCCACAGACCCTCTCTCGGCCACCAACTTTTCTACCGGCTACGAAAACCGAGAGTCCGACAAGCTAGATTCCATTCCTGAGCCAAGCGCCTGCGGAGGTGCTGAGGAGCTGGCGAATGTTGCATGGGGCCAAGTGCCAGCCGCCGAAACTCCTGTCAAGCGGTCGCATACTACATACCGGATCCTGTTCTCTTTTTTTAGAAACGCAAAGGACAAAAACCCTGGAAACAAGGGAACTGGACGGTGATCACTGCCAGCCTGGCCTCGGACTTCGAGGGATCAGGGCTTTGGCTCAGCTCCGCCTGGCAGCGCAGTGCAGCGCCACAGTCGGATGTGGCTGCGAGTTTTTTTCAAAGGCTTCCCACATGCTTGCCACAGCGTCTGCCGCACCACGTGGTACGAGCCCTGCCTGAACCACATCACCATCAAAGCTGCGCGGCGTGGATCCAGGGCTGGGATAAAACGCAAATTCGCCACCTCAGTTGTGTGCAGCGACTGCCCAAACTGCTGAAGCCCACACCCGGCCATTGTGTAGTGTAGTCCATTGGTCCGTGCACGTGCCTTCCACAAGCTTCGATGTGTAATGAGGTTGTACAGATAAAGTGAAGCGTTGAGACTGACTGTGCTTGCGAGCCTAGGCAACCGTGCATCGGGAAGGTACAGCTCTGCATGCAAAAGCAACACTCAGTAGAGACAGGAGCGAAGGGACGAACGTGCTCCGCCAACTCCGTTCCACTTCAGCCAGTGCCTAACTTGCCTACACGACCCTCCCTCGGACATAGCTAGAGGCCACTCCCCGAACTTCCTGGGTTTCAAGCCAATGTCTTCGGAACTTGCAGATTCGGTCTCCGCTTTTGGGCTCTTTCCACCGCCCTGGCCCAGGCAAAGCAGCACATGGCAAGGTTCAGGCTTTGGCTTCCTTCCCCTGCGAGGCCTTACCGCCAGGTCGATTCGTAGGCGCAGTCTCTTTGGTTCTGCGCCGCCTTAGCTGCACTTGACTGGACAAGTCCAGCTAAAGAAGTGTCACATCAACTTCCTCAACTCTTCTCTGGCTGTCTGCATTCCTGGGACAAGTCAGAGAAGAACCAGCAGACTGTGTCCGTGCTTGATCTGAGTTCGTTACGAAGGCGATGTGGGGCTTCGACTCCCACCCTGGGCGCAGATTATCCAGCTTGCCCATATACTCTTGTCGCAATGGATACGTTCTTGATGGTGTCAGCCTCTGCTACGGCATCCAACTATCTACTGCGCTTGCTAGGTACATGGGTTATGAACGCATGCAGCAGATCTGTTCACGAGTCAGGTGAAGAAAGGTGCTCACAGTTCCAAGAGTTCGCTGCTCAAACATGCTGTAAGGGATTTTGGCGGGAAGGTCTTGTGAGAAATGTGAAGCCAATCCAGCCTCGTCCTCATCGGCCCCATCCTTTTCGAGTAGTTGCTTCGGCAGCGCAAGAGAAAGCGCAGCGAAGAAAAGAATGTGCGAGGCACTCAGGCCTTGCTGGTCTTGAACCGCTTCAAAAACGCGACGAACAGCTTCGGAAAATCGGATTCCGGAACCTGCAACAAGAAGCCCCGTAATGCTGCAAATGCTGCCACCGATCTGCCGCAACTTATCAAGGGAAGCTTCGTGAATGATCGTTCAACGTCGTCGGTGACGATGCGAAACGAGCCCCGGAGCTCTCAGGGTCCTGAGATACGGGTCTATATGAGATACGGGTCTATGTGAACGAACAGGAGGCCGAACTTTTCCTGGCGGTAGCAGCGGCGGGAGCAACAGCGGCTCAGGCAATGACAACACAGCAAATGTAACAACAGAGTAGAAGCAAGAACAGCAGCAACCGTGGCGCAAGAGTCATTGCAAGAGCAAGACGAGAGCAATAGCAGAACCTGCAGCAGCAGTGCCAATGGCACGGTCACTACCACCCGCTACCGGCAATTATGTCAGTCATGTGCCTTTAAGAATGTGGCACTGGCTCGGGACCGCGAGAAGGCGGCAGGAATGGAAGGATGAGTAGCAGAGCCCGGGGAGCGAAGTCGAAGAACTGGCATCAGGAGCCCAAAACAATACGAAAGAGGAGCCGTCGGATGCTGTGAACGCTCCTGGGCAATACTAAGCCATTAGCCACTGAAGATTGAGAGATTCCCTCTGTCGTCTTGTTGGCTCTGGCCATGGCCAGAACACAACGACGACGGACCCGCCGCAGCGTAGCTGCAGGTAGCGTGGTTTTAGGGTTTCCGCGACCCGAAGCTTTTGAAACACCATAAACTAATTCTTCCTAAGAGCACATGTCTGCAGGCCTCGGGGCCGGGGTTGAAGCGTTGCATGGCCTGCTGCCGACCTCCACGATCAAGCACACAGGTGGGGCGGCTACATCTCAACCAATCTATTCAGGTCACGCAGCCAAACAGATTGGTGTGTACTTAATTACCGTGTCATAGTTGCCGCTGCGAGCTGCCATCTGTAACTCCTCAATATAAGCTGTGAAAGAGTTGCATCCCCGGTAGTATGGAGAAATATATCGGAAACACTTGGCCACGTTTGTGGTTGATGTTTCATGCTGGACAACACCGCTTCATTTTGTGGGTAGAGATGTGTCTTTTTGGTTTCGTTTGGATTGACATTCCTATTCGTCTTCGTGTTCTTCTTGCCAGTGTTGGGGGAGCTCAGAACCAACCTACAAGAAACATCCCATCAGCTGAACACAGCACCGAAGATGGTGAACTGAGGGCAGCGCTTGATTCTGGCAGCTCGCTCAGTCTCTGCCGAGCCATTCGGTCCAGCCTTGCAGTAGCGCAGTAGCACCAGGCGCCCCGAGAAGTCTGATACTGCAGCTTACGCTACGAACCTCCAAGCGACTGCCAAACTCAACGGAAGGTGGCTCGGGGATCGACGCCAACAACACTACGTCCCAGAGTCCGCCCCGTCAACAACAAACGACGACGACGACGAGACCCTGCAATGTAACCTTTGTTCTGAAACAGAATCTTGTGAAACAGCAGGGCCAGTCACCTCCATGTCTGGCAGAACTCCTCTTCGTCGGTCGGAAAAAAGCGCCCGCTGCGATCCTGGCCGCATGTTGTGCGAAGTTGCTAGGCCAGATCCGACCCGATCCCCGCCAAGGTTGAAAGTCACCTGCGCGTTTGGCACTGTGAATACCCTTTGCATCAGAAGCTGGGGCTCCTGAGGCTCCCAGGCACCCCTACAGTAGAGTGTGCTCCCAGAGAAGAACCCTGAACAGAATTCGTCCTTGCTCGCTCGCTTGGGCGACTTCTTCGGTTTTGCCGTGGGTGCTTGGATGCCCTGGCAGACTGGCAGAGCTGCTGACACCAGCGGCGAGTGCTTCAATGGCGAAAGACTTGCCCAACTAGCAGCAGGCAAAACTACGTAAACAGCAGTGGCCGAGGGTGAATGTACCTACATGAGGCGGGGCATTCGGGAGACATGAGTACAGAGAAATGCTCATCTAAGATGCCTCCATCGTGTGCTTGGTGGTGGCCCTGATGAGCCAGTCGTCGTCTTGCTGCATCAACTCGTACCTGGCGAGGCACTTGACGGATGCACAGTACGATTGACGATCGTGGCGGGAAGCGGGGCAGAATGAATGTCTCAGGCAAAAGATGGCAGGGATGGGTAGCTCATGGAAAGCCCCATGACAGGTACTCCCAGGTAGTCCCCGACGCCATGATAAGGCCTATCTAACGTCTCAATGACACACAACGCTTCGAGAGAGAAGCAGCTTGCTTCGAAACGTCCAAGCACCGGCTGATGGCGCACACAAGCTCCGGTACTAGCTGCCACCCCTCTTACAATGATCTGGAGGAGCGGACCGCTGCTTCTCGGAGTTCGAAGCGTCCACGACCTCCAACACGTCCTGCAAAGCAAAAGACTTCCAGGGCGACGGGACACCAAGAAAGCTGTCACTCCTACGATGACGCTATCAGTGCAAGATGGGCGATGGCAAGCCTCAGTCTTAACGCCGCCGAAGAGTGGCTCAATCGCCAATAGGTCAGCGAGCGCCACGAAGCCTGCAGCCAGAGTGGCTCCCGGGCAGATCTCCGACGTGATGACGGGTCATACTCCATGGCTCCAACGTTTTGTCAGACAAAACAAAAACCACCTTTCTCAGCATTCCGGTTAAGACTGCGTGAGTGCTCCTCCGTCTGTAATGGGAAGATCGAGCTGTTTGGCTCCATGACGTAGGACATACGACCTGAGCTGAAAGTGTGCTGAGCAGGCGTAGTGGCTGCTCTTCCGTGATTTTGAGCTGTGTCTGTGATTGATTGCAGAATCCGATTCCATCCGCTTCCTTGACTCGGTCACCTCTGGGGGCCTAGCAACTTCTTGCTGAGCACGGTCCGGGCATCATCGCTGTCCCTGCAGGCACCCGAGACTGGATTTCGTGCGTTGAAAGCGCTCTGCAGCCCGCAACATCCCGCATCTGCACGGCTGCACGGCTGCACGAGCACAGCACGGCGACTCGGGCTTCGGCCGCACGCGCATCTTCTCCAGCATCTCCGCCAAGACTGCTCCAGACATTCTGGCCTGGTCCATTCCGAAGCTCGGATGGCGTCGTAGTCCCAGTCTAGTGACTAGTGCAAACCAAGCTGCTGATGGTCTGGACGAACTTATCTCGATGAACGGCTCCAAGTGCACCACGTGAAGTCCAGCCGTCCTGTGGCGGGTTGTCATCCACAGCTGTGCGTGCTAGCATCTGCTTTGTTGCTTCCAGTCTTGTGGTGTTGAAGCCCTCGAGCAAGTGAACCCGACTGCCGCTGTCGGTTGAAACTGGAGCTGAACCTACGATCTCTACAATTGCTGCATGCTGCACTTTTCCGGAATATTCACTGTGCTGCATGCCACAATGAGGCCGGCACCAAGCATCACAAGTCGAGACAGGCGTCACTGAAGTTCATCCATGCACACCAGGCACAACGCCCCTTCACAGTCGGAGAAATGGCTTGAAGAGCTGGTCTGAATTGCCGTTTGCTTCTGCTGCTACTCGCACCAGCTTTCAGGATGCCATTCAATTCTGTCACGGAGGCTCGAACATGAATCTGTGAACTGCCTACGTGCGTGGCCCGGAGTATGCAAACTGATGCTCTCGGGCTACTGCTGTGCTTCCTACAGGCTTTGAGAAGGGGGTCTGATCGAGCAACTTGATGTTTCGAACCTAGGGCTGACACCGACACTGTACATGTTCTCAGCACACCCACAGCCGACCATCGGAGCCACACACACAGCTGCCCTACTACGCACGAACTTTTTCGGCTCCATCCCAATTGTGCACGGCTCAAATAAGACTCCACAGCTTCCGGCTAGGACAACGGCTTGCGTGGTGCAGACCGCGGCATCATCATTTCTCATAGTGGTAAGTTATCCGAGCTTGCATGACCTCCTGCAGTCATCATGTCAGCATAGACATTGCAAAGCTTTCTGCCCTTGTTGGAGGATGTGTTTCGTTGGCGCATAGGAGGTCAGGTGACAATGACCAGCAGCACAAAGCTTGAGAGCTTTGCACGTCTAGTTGCCGCTGCGACTAGGGTACAACCAGAACCTGCACATCAGTAGGAAGCCTTAGTGTTGTCTTCCCGATGCTGAGAGCCTATGTCTTACCATTACCTGTTCACCATAAACTCAACCATGAATCACGCACCATTCCCCCTTTTGGCATTGGCTGGCGGCTCCTGCGAGCTCTTCAGCTCTAAGGGCCAAGGCTACGTCTCGTATCTGCGACCGCGGAAGGCATTCGGGGGCTTGTCGGGGCTTAGGTCGACTTCCTTTCGGCGTGCCAAAGTGTAAGAGGTAAGGCTCAGGGAAATGAGGATTGGGGGGCCAATGCCAAGCAGTCAGAACTGAAACCACGATAGCCTGCATCAGAGCAGTGCATTACGCCTCTCCGCGCTCCTCAGCCAATGCTCAACATGTGCAGGCGAATCTGGATAAATCCCGATCAACATGATCAAGTGGATTGCGCTCCATGTCCACTTGAAGAATCCTGTAATGCTGTGGCTGACAGGACCATGGCTTGCCGATATTATGGCAGTTGCAGAGCAAAAATGATCGAATCCGGTCCCCTTGGTGCTGCAGACGAGGTGCTCGACATCACCGATCACCCCGGTCGGGAGGGGGACCGCCGCCACCCCCGCCACCGCCGCCACCGCCACCGCCTCTATCCTCAGCATTGTGGGGCTGCAGTCACAAAAGAAGGCAATCTCACGACGAACAGAAAATTCAGATTGATGGCTTTCGCGAGTACAGCAAAGAATTGACTCACAGCCCAGCACTCAAATTGCCTGCAACTGTTAAGCCATGATATCGCATTGAAGCTGTACGTTGCAATGGCCTGGCATGGAGCGACTTGGTGGCAAGTCGGTCAAGGCTCGCGTCTGTCGTCACCACCCCGATCTCGACGATCCCGATCTCGATCACGATCACGGTCCCGATCACCTGCAGAAGTTGAGGCTCACTACCACGGAAGATTTGTCGTACAAACCAACAAAGCCTGGCCCATCCTGCCCCAGGTCGCCCAGAGCTCACTTGAAAGGAATGAGGGCATGTGAGCGGTTGTCAAAACTCGTTGTTTTCAGGCCTAGTCATGCATGATTTGGGACGGTCATGCAGTTGAAAAAGGATCGGTAAGACTTTTGTGGGGTATCGCTCTACTCGTGTGAGATTAAGAATGGCAGCACAAGTGGCAAAGTCAAACTAGCAAGTAGCACAAGCAGCAAAGTCAAACTAGCAATTTTTGTAACAGTAGTTGTCGTCGTGCTAGTGCTGGACTACTGGTAGTAGTGAGAGCAGCGGTAAAGATGATTCCATCAGATTGGGCACTGGCTCATAAAACGATCTGGTGGGTATCGATTGGGGAGTTGATTGCCTGGCCACACATCACACCGAAAACTTTGGCACAAATGCCGCGGCAGCAACAGACAATCTTCGTTGATCGTCTCGCGTTTTTGGGGGTTCCTCTCGCTTGTCGAGGGGTTTGGCCACATCCTTCATTTCAAAACCAGCCTGCCCTTAAGAACAATTACGCGGATGCTCATGTATGCGAGACCACTCGACAAAACCCTCGAATCGAGCACCTTCAAAAAGAAAGGTCCACGTAAAGCCAAAGCAAAAGGTTGCATACAGGAACATTGAACCCTTTGCTTTCACCCGATCTCCCACATGCTGTGGGAGAAACATGGCACAGTAGTCTAGCAACAGGTACACAGACTAATGGCAAGACTAGCCGCCTAGCTAGGCCACTACGACCTCACAATTCACCGAGAGATGACGAGAGGCGATCGCGGTCACCGCGGTCACGTCTGTCCCTGACCATGACCAAGGCTCTTTCTCTGCACTGTACCCCGGCAGGCTGCAAACCGTCATGAGGCAAGTCAGACCCATCTAGTTTGCCAGAAGAGGCTCTCGAGAAGCAGCATGTGACAGGAGGGATGGCTAGATATGGACTACGACTGGAACGAGGATGTTCGAGCATACTCATGACCAACTTCATGCCTGGAAAGGCCGCTGCAAGGCAGAGAAAGCGCAGCCCAGAACTCTTTCCGGCCTGTCATGACGGCCGCCTCGCGCCTCATCCTTTCCGCCCCTCTGACGGCTGCGACTTCGATCCCGCTCCTGTTTGGTGCCCAAAGATGGTGGGCACAAGTAGGGCATCTCTCGAACTGGCCGAACGAAGCTACTAGAGTCAGAGGTGTGCTGGAAGCAGAATTGTACCTGTCACTTGGTCACTTGGCTCTGCGAAGACCTCCCCGCATTTTGAGTTTGAGTCTCAGATTGGCTCTCAGTTTGAGATCAGGCACAGAACGAAGCTTTCGGCGATCCGAGTTTCGTGTGGGGCATGGTGGGTCCCGGCTTTGCATCCGGAGATTCTCTTCGGGTTGTTGGCCGTAGGCATAAGCAGCAGGCTGGTCATGAAAACGTTAACTCCAAACAGTCGCTCCTTCATGGACTGCCGAAGCTCTCGCTCGTGCACCTGGACCAGATTGGACGCTAGCTGAGACAATTTACACCTGGCACAGGGCTTTCAGGCTCTCGGCTGAGGGATGGCGAGTTGCATGTTTTGGTATTGATAGTCTGATGTCTCGAACTCGCTTTCCAGGCAGCATGTAATCCGCGCCTTGCTGCCAATAGCAGCTGCGTACTCTGGATCCTGACGTCACATGATGAGCATGACATTGGAGTTTTAGAGCTGAGATCCTTCGGCCTGCCAGAACCTGCTCCACTCCGCTCCTTGACGGGCTTCCCCTCGCGGAGGTCCCGGAGCATCATCATGACCAGGGAGGAGGGCTTGTTGGAACGCTCGAGATGCCTCGTTTCAGCATTGGTTGAGCGCGACGTGCCACTCTGCCGCAGCTCCGACACAATTACGAGCCCGGAAAGCTTCATGACAATTTGAACCACCGGACTGCAATCAAAGCATTTGTCACGAACCCGTCTCACCTCGTGTTACCTTCCAGGCCCAGCTTGCAAAGTTGTGTGAAGCACAATTCGAGAGGGCATAAAACCTTTGGATGAAGAACTGCGGCTGCGGCTTTGCAAGTTTCATCAGGTCCGCGTCCACGTCGTCACGGTTTTCCATCACCTACATTGACTATGCAAAATGCGTCGGGGTCATGTTGCAGGATCCAGTTGCAGCATGTCGCTGTGAGGCTCTCGGGCTGATGCTGAAGCATTGTGCTCTTATCAGTTCACGGTGTGCCGACTTCGCAGACTGAACACCAACGGAGCACTCTAGCTCTAGCTGCATTCCCTCTTGGCACCTCCGCGAGCTTTACAGCGGCCTGTGCGTCCAAGCGATTTCTCTTGGCGAAGTCTTGGATCTGGCAGAGTCCCCGAGAGAGGCTCACAATGAACATCCATGAATCATGAAATTGCAGGACCGCCGGTACACCGCGGGACGGGTCCTTCTTGTTCAATGCCGTCATGCCTTTGAAAGTCCCCATTCGCATGTCTTTCAGCTTCATCATCAGCATTCCTGGTGCGATCTCGGACTGACATCAGCACTGTCACTCGACAAACCGCCTCTCCCAGTGCAGCGGCCAGACAATCGCTCCTGATGGATTCTTGGATCCTTCCAAACCAACCCAAAGAGCTTGGAGATCCGACTCAAACCTCAGTTGATCTCGAGAACCGGTTGATCTCGCAAGAGAGCTACTAATTACTCCTGGGCTGACCCGGTGCCGACTGGCCACGAATCTTTTCGTTTCTTCATCTCTTCGTCAAGGGCACGTGTTGCACGATCATCTGAGGCAGATGTCGGGAAATGATGCTCATCATACATGTACTGTCACCATGATCGGCGGAAGTTCATGGTTCGCGGGGCCTAGCCCGTGGTACTCCGCAAGCTCTGCCACCTGTGGATCGATCCCGGCGCTTTTGATTTGCTCGTACTCGGAGGCCACCTGTTGGAACCTGCAAACATGTGAAGTTGTGCAGGGCGGAACCTCTCATGGCTGCGTGCGCCTCATCTGTGCCAAGGATTCAGAATCCAAGTTCGGTGGCGGCGGCATGCCGGGGAAGGGGAGCTTCGGCAGAGCCGGTGGTGGACCAATTCCAGGTGGGAGCTGAAGTCCCCCGAAGCCCATCCCCGGAGGTGGCGGCGGCAGAGCGGAGCCGCCTGGGAGGCCCGGTGCCTTTGGCGGAGCCGGCACTCCTGCGACGAGAAGCTCAAACCACCCAAAAACAGAACAACACGTTGCGCGACGTCCGTTGCTTTTCTAAGCCCCGTGCCTGGAGGGAGTTGGAGACCTGGCGGGAGCTGCAGACCTCCTGGCGGCCCTGGAAAACCGAGGGCCTTCGGATCCGCAAGGCCAGCTAGGCCTGGGGGCACCGGGAAGGGGAGGCCTGGACCACCAGGTGGTCCACCCGGCGGCATGCCGGGAAAGCCCGGGAAGTTTGGAGGTGCACCCGGAGGCCCACCTGGAGGCGCTCCGCCCGGTGGTGGGCCTCCGGGCAACGGCGCCGTTGGCACTCCTCCGGGTGGCAGTGGAAAACCGAGCGCTGCGGGATCCAGAGCTCCTCTCAAACTTCACACATGCACAAAGCCCGAATCCGCACGACATTGTTCTGGCTCCTGCCGGCATGCTGGGGATTGTATCATCTCCTCCAGCCCCTCCTTCCTTGGCACAGTGCGGAGAACGGACATACGGTCTCAATCAAACACTACGAAGAGGAGTCACAGATTCATCTTGGAAAGGCTGCCGGCTACCATGCTCTGCCGACCATGACGAGCTTGTACGAGGGCGTTTTGGGGATTGCTTCAGCCGAGAGTCCCCTCCGCGCTTTCGGCCCATGGTGCGCAAGAGCCAACGGCAGGTGGAGCGGAATCAAAACTTCTGCCTGCTTCCTGGCAGAAATGTGCATTCGATGAATGTCACGGTGACAGGACGGGTGCACTCTCGCCTTCACCAGGCGTTTACCACAGCCGCCGACCCAGGCCCGTAATAATTGGTTTGCGTAAGCAGTGGCTGGATTTGAAGAGTTGAACTCTTGCTTACAGTGTCGTGCTCTCGGCATTAGACAATGATTTTTCAGCTGAAGAACTGGGTGCCTGGGAAGCCTTCCTCTGAAGCATTCTGTGAGCCAGGCTTCGACAGGGAAGTCGCGAATGGAGGCATCCGGAGCTGTAAACTCTAGACGGACGCGAACTTCGGGTCCTGAGCCCTCTCTGCTGCCAAGAGGACCAAATTGGTCTTCCTCCCGGCACTGCAGCCATGGCTTCTCTTTTTGAGTAGACGCGATCTCTGAATCCATCAAGAGGAACCGAGTGACACAGAACAGAATGAACCTCAAAGATTCATGCTGCCAACTGGTATAGAATACAGGTCTCAAGACCCAGGCTGCGAAAGATTCTGTTCCAAGCACGGATTGCTGCACTAACACTGCCAGCAACAGAACGGGTCGTAGAGCTTGAGCGGGTGTGCAGTTGCAAAGACGAAAGTTAAGGCTTGTCTGCTTTTGCATACTTTGCGACCCGTTTCTGCAGCAGGCATGGGACTTCTAGAAATTTCGTTGGCACTCCATGCGTGACCTCAGGCAGCAGACGCGCGAGGTCTCCGTGCCCGGCAACCAGTGTCTTAGGGCTCTGACGAGTTGATCGCGCACCAAAATATGCCTGCCGGGTTCTCGCTTTCTGTGACCGTGGAAACATCGATGAGGACGAAATTGACGGGGTTGGATTGCTGTCAAGTGACCAACACACTTCCGAGTCAGCACCGGCGACGCCAGCGTTGCGACCATTGCCTTCAAGAACAGATTGGGCATCAAGCTACCGGGCTAAGCTCTTGGAAGCTCCAAGTCCCTGCGGCCCTGGCTAGGGCCGACAAGCCCGCTGCCAGCGCAGGCAGCTCCAACTCCTCGGAGATAGGTGTCTACGAGTAGCAGAGTAGCAGCTCTCTAGTGCGACGCTTGTGCTCTGGATGTCTGTGGCTTTGCGGGTTTCCCGTTCAGGCGATGAGGATGTCGACGTGTTCTTGCTCGTCGATGTTACTTTTTCAGGTATGCTGTTGCGGTGCGGTGACAACCATGCTGCTCACGCTCCATCACCATCATCATCAGGAAATTCAGCAACAGCAGAAATAGCATCCTCCAGTCCCGAAACGGCCTCGGACAGCAGCAGCTACAATTTAACTAACAATGATGCGAACTGGGACACATGAACTGGAGAAGAACATAAGAACAACGACGATCATCATGTCTGAGGTTCAGATACATACACGGAGGTTTAACAACGCATCATGGCACCGTCACACAGTGGTCACAGCCCCTGCTGCATGTGGCGTGTGCCTCCCTTCTGGTCATACTTTCCTCCATACGGTCTTCTGCATGAGTCGAGAGCTCAGTCCGCACCTCGCGGAGAAGCCGAACTACAGCTCTAGCGTAGCAAAGCCGGAGGCTTTCTGCTTCCGGGTACGGCTTCCGCCAAAGTGCGAAGAAAGATGTCCTGGTGACCCTGGTGAGCTCGTGGTGCCAAGCCTCAAAGAGAGACTGCAGGTGCTCGAGCAGTCTTCGTCGGGTCCAGGTCTGGAACTGCGGTTCTGCTGCCAAAACTTGCAGCATCTTCTCCAGCGCGTCGTCACCACGAAGGCACGCTGGCCTTCCATGTCCAAACAACTCAACCCGCTTTCCGGCCGATGCCTCCGTAAGTGCAAGTGGCACGACGATCTCCGCGGAACACTCGGGCAGAAAGCCGAACGCGAAAAGAAACTGCTCTGCACTGTGGCTACCGTAAGAAATCATCACCTCCTGACCCCCTTCGATGTCTTGCACGGAAACAAGCTTTGCAGACGTTGGGGTACCAACGATGCAGGCATTTGGTTCTGTACTGTGGTTTAGAAAATCGAGCATGGGAATAATGCACTGCACCTCTTCCTCCGTGCCTTCCACAGGTAACGTGCCAGACCTTGTTGAGACAATCGCCTGACACCAAAGCCATCTGTGCCATGAGAGTGGAATCCAGCTGTGATTTGCTCTGAGTGGGTCCAGGGCTTCCCACTCTTCTCTCAAACTTTGCAAAAGAAGCTCTGCCTGCCGTTGCAAGGGAGTCCCGAGCAACGCGTCGTGGCTCTGCTGCGCGAGTACTACGGGGAGACAGCCTGCTCCCGCACTGTCCTCCTCCGGAAGTTGGTTCAGCCAGGGCCACCAAGGCGACGTTGCATCTTCTGCATGGCGCAGGAGCCAAAGTCGAACAGCGCGACTACCGTCGTCCGTCCAAGCCAAGTCGTGAAGCAAAGCTTGCACATCAGCATCCTCTTTGGCCAGCTTGCGGCTGATGATCAAAGTCCAGGGAATCTCCACCAAGGTTCTTCCACAGGGGACGGACTGAGAGACGACAACACCACGGCCACGACCCGGAATTCTCTGCACGTCCAGCTGTTCAAGCCAGCAGCCACCCTTCTCCCGTAGCCAGCCCTTTAAAGGCTCGTTGCCTTGTTGGCTGCATGCAACTTTCTCAGACGGGCGGGAAAGCGGACAGAAATTCAGAGCCACGAGACCACAGGCCGGCTGCAAAACCTGCCAGCTGAAGCGGATGCCTTGCATCTGAGCCGTCCATGAAATCCATGAAATCCAAAAGCCAGAGGACTTGAACAGAGTGGCGGCACACGTACATGCACTTCATGATCTGCAGTAGTGTCGCACAGCCCAGCAAGATTGAGGTCACAGCTGGAGAAATCGAAACGACGACGGCCACCAGCAGGTATGCAAAGCATGCACCCAAGCCTGACGATGCTTTCTGGTGCAAGGCTGAATCGCCACTCTGCTCTAAGTACCCGGCTGGTCGAGAGGATAGCGCTCACTTCCCGACCTTGACGAACAGCAGAGATGTGCAGGTGCATGCATGCGCAAACGAGACCGCGAGAGAGAGAGAGAGAGAGAGAGAGAGAGAGAAAGAGAGTCCTTCTCTGCACCTGTCTAGTTGCTGCACTTCCAAAAGCAATCCTGCGAGAAGCCGGCGCAGCGTCGTCTCTGGGTCCGAGAAGAGGCGTGAAAGAGGAGGCCTCGGGCTGGCGACGGCTTGCTTGCGCAGTCAGGGGGGTTCGGGGGATTTGATGGGATGGTGTTTTGCTGTGCGGCCACCATTGCTCGTTGGTGGCTTCGCTGTGAGTGTGTCTGTGTGAGTGCCTTCTAATTGTGGCAGATCATGATTCTTTGACTTTGAAGGCATGGATCATAGTGCATTCTCCGAGGTCAATTAAGGTGACGATGACAAGGCACGTCCGTGGCAGAGTTTCGAGTGCTTGCTGCACCAGCTGCCCTCACCCGTGCATGCACGGGCTACCTGTGACTTGCAAGCCTGACCTTGTCACGTCACGTACCCTCCAAACAGCACCCTTCCACCTGCTCCTACACCTCAAAACTCAGAGCGGCACCCATCCTCGTTGAGCTCTGAGAGCTTCAAGTCCTGTGCTGGCCAGGCGCACATTTCCGAACAGCTTGCCCTTGGACTCTCCTCAAACTAACGATCCCTTCCGTGGGCTGTGCCTCTCATCCCCTTCTTAAACCCCACCTCGTAAGCGATGCCTTGGAAGAGTTCATTCCTGCAGGGTACATCTTTGCATCGGTCAGGGCGGTGGTTTGCTACTGGAGCTCAACAAGTGCAGGCAGGTGCTCCATGCCGCAGATTGGTATTCAGCCACTCTAAACATGTGTCAACTTCTATCGGATGGCTAGCACCATGCTTGAGACTAGTTCTCGGCATCCCTCCGTGCCATGCAGCAGTGCGGCGCTGCTCCTCCCCCATTACCCTCATCGCTTAAGCATGTTTCGTCGCTGGGGGGGCGCACAGGCTCGGTGTCTTCACGCCGGCGAACTTGCGCGTTTCCATGTCCAGTACAAAGGCCCAGGCCTCCACAGACTCAGAAAACCACAGGACTAAACGCTGGCATGGGGAGCGCCCTCCCGGGCCCGGGCCTGGGAGGCCTCCGCCCAAACGGCAGGGAAGCTGGGCCCTGGCCCGGCGGGGCTCCAGGGAAAGCCTCGGCTTTTCAGAGGACTCTCCTTTTGGGCCTTTGTGCCTTCCACCGGCTGAGACTCGGACGAGACCCACTTGAGGCAACGCGCACCGGCTGGATTCGGAAGGGCTCCTGCACCCCGGCGATGAGGTCCGGTCAGCAAGTTCTTGAAAAGCCTAGTTAATCGATTGCAGTTCCCAAAATAATGGGTCACGGGCCATGTCCTCAGCGTCCTCCCCAGCATTTCGGATCTCTTGCACCTGCGACTGGCTTCCGCACAAAACAGACCTTTTCTGGGCTGAAACGCAGAGCAAGCCCCGCTTGCCATCTACCCGCACTGCTCAAGTGCTGCGTGCCTCCTGGTAGTAGGCCTTCTGCCTGGGTGGAAGACTCTCTGTGCTCGCCCGAAAGACACCATGTCATGGAGTAGGACTCGACTCCCTTGTGACATGCAAGCCCCGAGCGAGGACTCAAGTTCTCGAAGGGCTTTGGCCTGGGCGTCTGATCCACTCTGCGGAGAGCTGCCAACGCTTGGAAGTGTGCATATCCGCTTGTCAAAGCCGATGTCAATTTTTGTTACTGTGCGCATTGGTGCAGTGGGGGGTCTGTGGTGCTGCGGACTGAGTGGTCATAGCAGCCTAGGTGCGCAAATCCGGATGCGGAATGTAGGTCCTAGCATGATCTCGGCCACTTCCCCTTGAGTTTGGAGCCAATCTTCCAAAAACACTGTGACAACACTATGGCACCGTTAGAATTAGAGGATGCCGAATGAGTGCCAACCGTGCTTCTGCAGTGTGGCGCGTCTCCTGGACTTAGAGTGGACTTGGGAGGCCGGCCCTAGGTATTTAGTGTAGGAGATGCTCTTTCACTGTTTGTTGGTCGGGGCCTGGCAACCGAGTACCTCGCGAACAGTACAGACGCAAACTGAGCTTCGCATGATATGCAACGCAAGCTCCGCAAGCATTGCTGCAATCCTGCGAAGCCCAGCATTTGCAACTTCGTGTGCTGTCAAGCTGCGGTCTGTTCAGCATTCCGGTCCACCAGGATCAAGCAGTACCTCTGCTGAGACATCTCGAGCCATACAGGTGTTCTGCCTCGAAAAACTACTGTACCAAATCCCATCACGCAAACCTGTCGGTCGGAAGCAAAGCGAGATTAAGAGACTGCGGAATCCTCCAACGATTGTTTGAGACCGTGATCAGCCAGCCATCCCACACCAAAGTCCCAGAACACAGATTCACAAAGACTTTTCCATTTCGCGGCGCATGCAGTCTGAGAAAGTCGCGTTCGGCTCGTGCTTCCACCGAGCGCTCGGTCGCCGCACAGCTGCTGAAAGTTGCCTGGGCAAACGACTGTTGACACTATCGGCATTCGCTGCCTGCTGTAATGGTGTCCTGCAACACCGACAGTGTCCGTCATGAGAATGTCTGCATGGCCGCGACTAGAGCGCCTTCGGCCAACAGCTATGTTTCTTTTTCCATGACCATGGCGACATTTCGCGCTAGCTACCGCTGCTTCCACCACCATCTTTCCTGCAATCGTGCCGACGACTCAGGTCCCTGGGCTGGCAAGCTGCAAGCACTGCAAGCATGGCAATCGTGGCATGCTGGCACGTAGGTCAAGCACTGCGACCTCCTCGAGTTGAGAAGAGCCCTTTCAGTCCGAGTGGTCGACTCTGGCAGCTGGCTTGGGCAGCGGCGCTCTGTCGCGACAGGTGCTTGCCGGGGGATCTGCTCAGAGATAAAGTCCTCGTGATACAGCATACAAAGGCTCACAGACACCCCATACATATCCGCCATAAGCACAGGGTAGTTCTACTTTGTGGGATTGGTTCCAGTAACGAAGTATACACGGTCGGCCTCGTTGCTACCTGATTGCATTTGGCGGGCAGACAGACTCTCAGAATCCGGATCTTTTGCTCTGTCGGTTCCCGCAGCAGAACATAACGTCTAATTGTAGTTACAAAAGAGACGTCGATCAGAGACGCGAACCCTAACACATGGTGCTTTGAAACTTCGCGTGCCCTCACTGCATGGGTCCTGGATGAGGGGTGCCATGTCCCTCACGTTTCGGACCTGGGTCCTGCTAACGTCACCTTGCAGGCTGCGTTGCTTCTCGGACGATTCATGTCGGAAGCACCACACCGTACCCAAGGACCTTGTCCCGCTTCCCTCGACTTTCTGACACTCTTCGCTATTTCTCTGTGTGGGACCAGGCCTGTCTTGGCCCTGTACACAGCACTCGACGCGATGCAGGTGATGTGGTCAGCTGTTTCAGGGTGTGCTGGTGAGCATTGGTGAGCTCTTACCACAGCTTTCACAAAGCCGACGACCGTCAAGACGTATGCCATGGCGTGCCTCCGCTTCGCAACATCAACGCCCATGTCTGACCTGCAGCAAAGCTTAGCAGTTCCGCCTCGCACCACGACTCCGCTGAAAGATAAAGGCAAACGCAACGGATCTGATGACACGCCGCATGAGTGTGCTTGCTGTGCTCTTCTTGGAGCCCAGCCCCGCTCCAGAGCGTACTCGGAGCCGAGGGTCTGTCCAGTCGAAGGTCAGCGAAATTGTCAAACTTGAGGCTCTGGTTTGAGTGTTCTGATTGGAGGGCCACGACGGGAACGACAAGAAGGCCTAGCACGCACATATCTCTGCACGATTCCCTCCGGATGCACTCATCGCTCGACTGCGGAGCCTCGGCAACGAGTTTGGCATCGGCCGATGCAAAACTAAAGAACTCCGCCCAAACGTGCGCCAATCGCAGCACCTCTGGCAGGCGGCAAGTCAGGCAGTGGCGGCAGCGGCAGAGAAGCTCAAGGGCCAAAGAAAGTCTCGCTAAGCCCGGCACTGGCATGAAGTCCACGGCCTTCGCCGCCCTGCTGCTCGAGGAGGGGCCCACCACCAGTATCCGCGGTCTGCCAAGAATGGCGAGGTTTATGACTCGGGCTTTGCCGTTGTAAATAGCAATGCTGATGTGAAATTCACCAAGGAATTCCGAGCCCCTGGCTCGTCCGAAGTCCACCATGTCTTCAGGTCCGCTGCAGCTTCGTGACGCTGGAACTGGCGGGACACGGGATGCTCGTGCCACGAACATGCCAGCATGCAGAACTTGGCCTCGGGAAAGGTGCTGTCCATGAAGTTAGTGAGTCCTTTGCCACCACCAGCACCTTCCTGCCAGGAACAGCATGCTGCAGGAGGCTAGATCTGTTAGGGTGCGGCCTCGTCCCGCCCGTACCTGTCTGAGTACATCCAGTGCTCCACGGACATGCCGCGAGCATATCTGAACACCTTGGACAAATGCGCAAGGCTTGCAATGAACCGACAAGTTCCGACCTCAACCAACGGCACAAACGGAACTGAGTGGTTCTCCACCGGCAGCAGCACCGGCTTGAAGGGCAGCAGGGACTGCAGAATCAAGGGGATGCTGGAATCTCGAAGTCGAATCGTATCGTGACTCTCTCATCTTCAAGGTTGTCGGACATCTCTGCCAGGCTCTCTCTCCTCCCTCCACAACGTTCCCGGCATGCAGTTCTTTATCACGCCAAAGAACCGACACCCGGGACGGGCTACTGCACCGGCTATGGATGCAGACTATGTACAGGCACGCATGTCTCCCGGTGGTCAATCCCCACCGTGCTAGCTCATGCGCGGAAGCGGCTGCACAAATTTGAGCCAACCACTGCGCACCAGAAAGTCAGAAAGCTCTTCGTAGTCCTCCACCAACTCCTGGGCGCCAACAACAGTTCACGGCTGGAGCACGATAGCCAAAACCATACGTCATGAGGTTTTTGTATGAATTTCATCTCGCAGCATCCATCTCTCTCACGCCGTGACGCAGCGACTCGGCGGAAGAAAAGAGTGTAGCAGACAGAGGTCCTCCGCGCAACAGCGAGGAAGGGCTGCATCTTGGAGAGTGCCTCGGAGCTGCAAAAAAGCATGGGCACGCATAAAATATCGGAAGTCGGCTTTGCTGTGACTAGCGTGAAGGTTAAGAAACACGCCCGATGCGACAGCCATGAGCCACCGGATCTTGACAACCTCTCAGGGAAAGCTTCAAGACTAGACAAAAAAACGAGAAGAAGCAGTCGGGCAAGCAATGCATCCCGGAAGCTCTTGCAAGCTTGCCCAAGGCGTTCCAGGGCTCCCCATGTTCATACGCCAGACGTGAATCGCCTGACCGGAGTCACTCCTGGAGTCTCTGGGCGGCGAACCCCGCTCGCGGCATCCGGGCCTACCACAGCACCTTCCCAATCAATGAGGGCATCGAACTTCCACTGCCCACTGCTATCAGGTGAGCAAAGGACATTGCCGTCATTCAAATCCTGTCAAGCCAAGTCAAACCCAGGCGGTCTGTACGACAACGACAGAGGTCTGTGAAAGCTGACAGCTTGACCTGGTGGATGAGCGTGGGCGGTATTGGCACGATGCCTTCGCAGCTGGGCTGTCTACGTGTATCACTTTGTATCATTGCCTATGGCTGGTCTCGTTCTGCAGGGCCTGCCGCGTGCAGGTTGCGATCCATGTTCAGCAAAGCTTCAACCAGATCCTGTGCCTGCCAGGCAGTCAGAGATAGTCAGGGCACGCCGTGTCCACAAGCGTTCCACCTGGATCTGTTCTGCGAGTTGGCGCAGGTAGGCCGTAAACTCGAAGCAATCCTCCCAAGGAAGCAACTAACCAGAGGCTCAATTCGGCTTCAGCAGTGAACGTTTTGAAGCATGACAGCACCTCGAAACGGGGCAACGGCTCGGTGTCGATGCCCGTCAGGCTAAAACATTTCAGCTTTTCCTGCACGTCCTGAGGCAGAGATCGTTTGCTGCCATGCACAAAGCAACGGCGGACTCCAGACTCGCTGAGGTTTCAACGGATATGGCCAGCCGTAGATCCTGCAGAGGGCAGTACGAGGGTACCCAATGCGCGTGTTCCGATGCAAGCTGTGCTCAAGCTCACCTCGGAGGCGCTCTGATAGAAGCACCCCGAAAGCAGCACACCAAATGAAGCCCTCTCCCGCCTTGCCGGGTGCAACCCGCTCATCCTGGGCTTCGGAAGAGCATTTATCAGTCTGGCAGAGAGATGCAGAGGATAGCGGATGGTAAACTTGCACCCCAATGCAGAGTAGATGACAGCAAAAGCAAGCGTAGCGGTTCCCTGGGAGCCTTCTTCGTCGAATTGTAAGGTGCATCTACAGTGGCTTGTCGGAGTTCGTGCATGCAAGGCTTGGCATGGGGCTACGTCTGGTGCAACCAGCGCTCCTCCACCGTGGCTGTGTTCACAAACTCGTAGACGAGGAAAGGTACATCGGAAAGCGGTCCCCAGGACTCCACCTCCAAGCGGTGCAGTGTGAGTGCAAATGCCGGGCTGCAGTTTTTGTCAGATCAAGGTGCCCTGCGATTGTAAACACTGTTGCAGTCGAACGTTCCGGCGCCTTTCCACTGGCCAGAATCTGCGGCACGCGGATGCCAGCGTCCTGGCTAAGCGGCGTGTTTTGCTGTCACCACGAAGTCGCTCCCGCTCCAGTCCAGTCTGGCCTTGGCCAGCGCAGTTGCTCGGACAATGGACTCCGCGCTGATCGGCTTCTGCAAGTGGAAGAGCCTGAGCGGCTCTGGCACTGAAGCTTGAAAGCAACAGCACCGTCGTCCCTGCCATGCCATATCATCATCGTCCCCACCAGCATCACCAGCATCACCATCATCATCAGCAGCCGCAGCAGCATCATCATCATAATCATCCCAATCGCCATCACCCCCGCACCGCATGTTGATGTTTCTTATGTTTCTTAGCGTGCTGTTATCACAAGCACATCGCCCACCGCATTGGCTGTGTGATGGCGCACGGGCTCTCTGTGGGAGGGGCTCTTTGTCCCCCAGCTCGGATCCAATCATCTGAAGGACCGCGCGTCCCTGCAGCTGGCGTCGCTCGAAGTTTGTCGTGAGCCCACTAGCATCATAGCTGGAAGAGCTGCTGTCACATCTGCTTTGACAGAAGCAGCTGGGTGATTAGAATCGTTGGAGGCGGGCCTCTGCGCCCGAAGGAAGTGGCCCGGCGAAGTCCAAAAAGTATGTGGCATGAAAGCTTACCTGACAGGCACAGTCTCACGATTTTGCAGATCTTCAACAATCTACAGGAGATCCGCCAAATCCGGTTGACCGGCTAATTGGAGTGCGGCTCGCAATCTAGGCTCGAGGCCTTGTGCTTCGTGCAGCGGCGGATCTCTGGGTACCCCATAGAAAGCAGAATCGCCTGGAAGCGGCGAGGATACATCGTTAAACTTGATGTTGTGCCACCGGCTAAACTCCTCAATCTATACAAGCCGTTCAGGTTCTGAGGCACCCGATGGAATTCCAACTGTAAACTATTTTGGTACTGTGGGCCAGGTTGCTTCAACTTCCGGTGGCACAGCGCACGCTGGCATGGCCTCGTCTGGATTCAATGCACTGGCACCATTGCACGTGGAAGTCCAGACCATGTCACAGCACCCGCTTTTGTGGCAAGGCTCCCGGATAAAAAGTGATCACTCAGGGGTTCTCTCTGGCCGCAAAGGGCGGGGGGGGGATCTTGGCTTGGCCTTGAACTCACCTAAAGAAGCCGGCCCAGCCGGTCCAACCTCGAGAAGCTCCGGCACATTGAGGACATCACGGCCGGCAGCCATTTTGTCTTGAACTTGGCCCTTCATATTTACATGTTCGCGATGAGATGATGAATAGCCACCATTACTTTATGTGGCACCGGTACTGTCTCCAAAAATGATGCTCCGTTTGCTGGCTGATCGTAGGATGCGTCGTCGACTGTGATTTGGCTCTGTGCAATCAAGAAAGCTGCTCGAGCAAAGTCCAGATGTGGATTGAATGGAGAGCCTTGGACTGCGCAGCTGCAGATACTTCTCATGAAGCCGTGAACCCAGTGCCTTCAGCTCCTTCTTCGTAACGTCCAGGCGGCCAAAGCGCGCGTGGTCGCCGTAAGAGTGTGCCACATCCTGCATGGCGTACAGCAAGTGCTAGCAGAAGCACGTCAACCAAATTCTTAAGTCTCTTGTCGCAGAGTGGCTGCACGACGCAACCTTCGCCTGCTTTGGCCAGCACGCTTCTTTGAACCATTGATAGGGAAGACCCTTATGCACAACTCCTCGCAACTATAAAGATGCAGCTCGCTAGCTCCATGTCCTACAGGTACACCAGCCGACTTAGACCTTGCAGCCTCCCTGGACTGAATAACATCTGAAACTGCAACAGACGACAACCTCAAGGGTAGCAGCGGTTAGCATGGTCCTCCCATCCGGTTGCGAAGGACTTGCATGTGCCATCGTTCGGATCGTAAGCTTGGACGAACCAAACTTCGTTTGACCTGACAGCTCGGAGGGTAGGGCGAACGAATTATAAGCCCAGGTGCCGCCTATTCCCAAAATCCGGCCGGTCGGCCCCATTACCCTGACCCTCTATCTGCTGTCTTTTGCCCCCACTCGCCCCACTTTGCCCTTCTTCCCAACATCTGGCCCCCTTGCAGATCCCAACATCGCCCCAGTTCCCAGTTGCTCCACTCAACTCGCGCCCCTCGATCGCCCCACTTGCCCGACTTGCCCCATGCCGATACGCCTCGTCCCATCCGCACTCGTCCGGTCCAGAAGCTCCATACAAGCTAACCTGCCCCATTGGCTCCCTCGGTGCCTCTGAGACTCTAAGACTCCAATGAGAATAACGGCAATCTGCGTGACAGTGCTACCGTTGCAGTTGTAAACCATCTCAGAACAGAAGTTCCGCCCGCTGCTTCGTAAAGCTGAGATCAACACCTCAGCACCTGCGCCTCGAAGTCCTCTAGAGACAGCTCGACAGACCTCGGCACAGAGACGGACCAACAGCATGAAAGTGACGTGTCTCCGATCTTCTGGAAGATTCCGTATCCGATGCTACATTCTCCTAGGGGTCATGCTGACACTGCGTGCAGGTGGAGCCCAATCCAAGTTTTACAAGTGCTGCTGGCCCTTCCTGATTTCCGAATCGTGACAAGCATGGCATATGGTGGCCGGGACGCTGCTCTGGAGAACACCCTGCGATCACCGTCACCACCCACTGTCACGCTGGGCTGTCGGCGACTGGGACTCCAGTGTCTTCTTCGCGCGGCGACCTGAATCGTAGGCCTGCGAGGGCTGCAGAAGCTTTGACAGTCTGACAGGTCTTTCAACTTCTTTCGTGTGCGCATGCTTTTGTCCTCCTTCCGCCTTCCTTCTCTGCATCCTTCTCTCCGCGAGGCAGAAACTCCAAAAAGGGCCACACTCGCTCTCCGTCGGCCTGTCGCTTGCCGCTTAAAACCGAGCCCTGGAGACCCGGGCTCCCAACGCTGAGAACGCTGAGGCTCAAAAGAGGTCTTTCGACTTCTTCGCATTCTGCTGCTTCCACTTCGGCTGCTTCAGGAAGTCGGCCATGGGCATGCCGAAGACCACCTGGAAGTCTGCTTCTGAGAGGTAGAGCTCCCTCTTGGCCGGGTCGACGTCCTGTGGCCGGCCGCTGCTGACCCGCAACTCCTCGTGGGAGTACTTCTTCTGGGTCGGGTCGGCATACGCAGCTTCCGGTTCGGCTGCCTCTTTTCTTGTCAGGTTCCCAGTGTCGCCCGTGCGGTAGCCGATGTAAGACGTGTCGACCTTCCAAGTCCCTCCATCCTTTCGCACGCTGGCCGAGGCGGCCGAGGCGGCCGAGGCAGAGGTCACCAGTGCCGCAAGTGCCTCCGGTTCCGGCACCGAGCGCCTGCCCTCCAGGCGATTTGGGTCCTTGGTCCTGTGGTCAATGTACCCCGTATCGACTTTCCACTTGCCATCCTCCGTTTTTTTCACTGTCGCAGAGGACGTCGACGACACTGTCTGCGCAATGCCAGCTTCAGCAGACTCGATTTGTGCCGCTGGCACCGAAACCTCCGCTTCTGCAGGCACCGCTTCCGACGATGGCTCCGGAGCCGGAACCTCTGCTTCAACAGGCGCCGTTTCTGCTGATGGCTCTGCTTCAATGGACGGCTCCGCCGCCGGAACCTCTGCTTCAGTAGGCGCTGTTTCTGATGGTGGCTCCGGACCCGGAACCTCTGCGTCAACAGGCGCTGTTTCTGCTGATGGCTCTGCTTCAATGGACGGCTCCGCTGCCGGAACCTCTGCTTCAGTATGCGCTGTTTCTGAGGATGGCTCCGGAGCCGGAACCTCTACTTCAACAGGGTCCGGTTCCGACGATGGCACAGGAGCAGAAACCTGTGAATCAGAAGGCGCGTCGTCCGGTATTGTGTCGGCCATGGCTGTGTTATCCGCCGCCTATCTCTTCGGAGGCTTGCATGTGCTTGAATGCAATGGAGAAGCGCGGTGTCAAATTCAATACAGATTGGAGACTCATAGATTCATGAGCTGTCCGGACATTTTACACTGCTTACTGCCTCTCCGCATATCCAACTGGAAAAGGCTCTGAACTTTCTGCAAAGCATGCAAGCTAATCATCGGCTACTGAAGACTCTTTGCATAGCTGTCATGCAGCGGCAGGCCATGGTGCTTCGTTTGGGTCCTCCTACTTAACTCGCACAACCACAGCATCTGAAAAACGACGGACACGAAGTGCAGAACCGATACCGAGCACAAAACTTCGCTTGTTTATCTCATCAGAGCATCAGAGCGCCTGTCAGAGCGCCTCTCCACGGCTGGTGAGTGATGGCTAAACAGGCTCTATCACTCTAGCCGCTAGCCGGGCGGTCTGCTTGTTCGCGGAATAGTTGCGCATGTCGGAATCGCAGTTCTCGTCAACCAGTCCTTTCCTGGCTCCAAGGCAACAAGACTTGTCCGCTCATGCAAGTCCAAAGCACTGTCCAAAGCTGTTCGGTCCTACTTGAAGTGTACCTGGCGATCTTCTGCTGGAGGGTTGGAACACATTCTGAAACATCGTCTTCTGCACCTGCAGCGCTGCTGTGCTGCTGCGCAGTCAACACAATCTTAGCACAGTTTCAATCAGCAGCATCTGGCCAAAGCCTCCTTGTGGGCTTTCAGGCCACGCTGAACAGACTGGATCTCTGCTCGTATGGTCCTGTCCTCGCGAAAATCGGTCTGCTTAGTTCTCAGTTCATGGGATACACTCAAAGGCACCTTGTTGTGTCGGATTTTTCCTAGGAGCCTCTTGAGCATCGATGCGAAATTGGTGCAAAGCTTGGCTCCTGCGGCTGGAGTTCCGCAGCCCTCTGCAGGTCTTGCAGGGCCGCCTGCGGTACAGAATCTACAGTAGTCCACGCTTCGTTCCCATAACATCTCGCAGCACTTCAGGCAGCGAAGGCCTCGAAGTCGCTCTGTCCTGATACATTTTCCCCCTCCCCAAAGCTGAGACTGCACAGCCGGCATCGAGGAGGCTTCTTGAGGATCTGATTCTGGACAGCTTGTGAACTCGCTCCAACTTGTTTATCGCTCTCCTGCGGCAGCTTGGCCACGGCGGTAGAGAGCCTTGGAAAGCTAGAGACCGCGAGGCCTGGTTGCCGTTTGCCGAGGGCATCTGAGCCGTCTCTGCTATGAGCCCTGCTTTGGCATTCTCGGGCTCGGCACCTCATGTGTCACCAAGTCTGCGAAGAGCCTACTCTGACATTTCTTGTACGTTGCGCTTGTCGGGCCCTGAGCTACAACGGTGTTGGCTGGGAGTTGACCTGCTTGTGATGGGGAAGCAAACCATAGTTGAACACCATGGGTTGCAAAGCATGTCTTCGCTCGTCTTTCCGACGAACGCACGCCCATCGCGAGCAGCAATTGTGAGGTGTTCTGATGCTCATGCGTCTCGAGTCGGAGTCAATGACTGTGTCGGAAGCATGAAAGATGGGACAGGTGGCGGCGACGAGGCATCGGTCCAGCCAGAAGACTGATGTGTTGGTTCCAGCAGAAGCCCCTACAGCATCCCCACTCGCAGCAGTTTGGGTCGTTTTAACCTATCGAGGCGGTAGGGCTTGGCCCATCACCACTAGAACAGCAGCTGGACTCAGCTGGATTGCTGGAAAGCCGAGGCATCCCATCGAAGCTTCACAGCATGATCTTTGAATCCAGCACATCCGTCAGAAGTTGTATCGTCGTAGGATGTAGTTTCACCTGGGCTGTTGGCAACAGCGCCTGGCTTAGCGATACCTGCCGTGGCCGTGGCACAAGTGAGGCCCCGGCGCCTATGTGATCTGCATCGACACTGTGAACCGTGCATTTGGACGTGGTCCACTGCGCCCATGCATCGAAGCTCTCGTGTGACCAGGGTGCTGCGCTTGCTGGCCCGGAGTTGGTGATTCGGCAGTTGATCTCCCGGACACGCTCCGCTTCCTCTTTGGGTCACAGAGGCTGAGGCCGCGAGGCCCAGGCCTTGCTATGCTTTCGGATTTCCCACCCCGAGCTCCTCCGGCAGTGCCTTCTTACTCGCATCAATCGCGAAGTTCCGCATGGCCTTGATGACGTGCCTTGATATCCCAAGAAGTGCATGAAGAGTGAGTCACGTCTGCATGTCTCCGAGACTGTGTCACACATGGCCTGCATGGAGTCAGCAGCCAAGGTGCAGCTCGCAGTTGAAGATGAAATGGCCTTGCAGGGGGTCACAACATCCCTGAATCGAAGTGGCAGCTCACTCGTTCAGGCCTGCCTTCTGGCCAGAGATGCTCTTGGCAGAGTCTAAGATCCCTCTTCCACATCTCAATCATCCTCTGAGTATCTTTCGACTCATGGCGATTCGGCTTCAGCATTAGCCTGTACCTGTGCTTGGACGAGAAGCTTTGAACCGCATGTTGTTTCAGAAAGGTCACACTGTGCCAAGCCTCTTGTCTGCAAGCAGCCGAGGTGCACGGTGGGGTTGAACCCCTCGAAAAACTCCAGAGGCTCGTCCATGCACAGGAGGCGATAGCCCTCCTCCAATGACAAATGGGGAGCGACCGATTGGTTTGTGCAGGCTCTTCATTCGCTCCTCAGTGTAGATGGGGATATGCGGGGCTCCACGGTCGATGGGAAACATCGCCACGGGCTGCAGGCCCATCCGCTGCTTCAAACGCAGCGCCACCTCCGAGCTCGCTTATTGCTGCGCTCTGTTCTGTATGCGGGCATATGCGGACCTCGGGCCTCCATCATCACCTGGCATCCCATGGAGTGTGCAGTGAGAGCAAAGGGTGCTCCCTCGAAGCTTCCACCCTGGCACCAGGCCGCTTCATAAAGAACCAAAGGTCCGAAAGCATGCTGGGCCTTTGCATGAGCTGCCAGCACGGCCTCAAGTGCTCGAAAAGCTTCCTGCACAGCTTCCACGTGCGACCAAGGGAGACCTCGAAGACTGTGCAGTTGTCTCTGCAGGTGTGTCCTCTGCATCATCGACCAAAGTCTCCGCAAAGGGTTCCAGGGAGCGCTGGCCATGGCCCGTGCGCTCGAAGATGGCGACATCAATCCAAGAGGGCACCTCTTTGCAAAAGTACCCAGCAATCCCAGGGACCACGTCCACGACAGCGGTTACACTACACACACCCGAGCCAGGCTGCCTGGTTTACAAACTGCACCCAGCTGGCCACACTATCCCCAGCACCAGGGAAAACGAAGAGCCGCAGGCGTGTGTTGAACGTCTCTACGATGTCCAATCTCAGTGGCCTTGAACAGCATGACATGAGCTGTCATAGTAGCGCAGCTATTACAAACACAGAGCGAGTAAAACCAAGGCTGCCAACTCTGAAAGTATGCCTCCATAATGGCCGTACGCGCCCTATAGGTGCCGCCAGTCGACTCAAGGTACTTGCGAAGATCTTGCCGGGATGGCAAGGCCCGCTTCTTAGGATCCAATATGTTTCGCATGGGTGGCAGTGTCCTGGGCAGCGTTGAGGCTGCAGCTTCTGAACAGCAACGCATCGGAACGTCCCAACCGCAACAACAAACCTTCAAGCTCGAGCCAGACCTTTTGTAACTCACTAGCAGGTCCGAAGTGCCCCCCGCGCCACTCGTCAGGGCTCTCCGCAGCCCCCAATGCCTTTGGCAAGGACGCGTTGTACAGTTGTGAAACGACTGCGGGCTTTGCAAGGCTGAAACCTGTAGAAATACCGGGGGATGAGTTTTAACTCCACTTCACAGCGTACAGACACCAACAGGCACGATCAGACCGTCCGTAGCGGGGTCAGATCCAAGAAGTTTCACGTCTCGAGATGACTCAACTACTAAATACATCTAAACTTGAGGTGCTTCGACAGGGGTTTCAGCCATCCAAGTAAAGGACGCGGGAAATGCCTGAACTCACTGCAGTTGGATCCAGTCCGGGAATTGAGTTGAAATCTGTTGACAAAGTGGCATGAGTCCCTTACTGCTGTCATTGCAGGGGGGATTGCAAAGAACAAGTGCTGAGTGTTACTGCTTGCAGCGGGTACATGACCCAACTGGAAACCGCAAGCTACCCGCACTAGCCCCTCGCAACTCATGCAACTGACAGATCGGACAAGGCGCGGCTCTTTGTACTCATGCTGACCCCCTCTATATTGAAACCACACCGTTTTGAGAGATCCCGGCTCCTGTCGTGCAGCGACATCGTCACCTTCGGCGAGGCGTGCTTGGGCCTCCGCCTGACGTCGAATTCCGAATGGACCCTACCGAATGTCTGATGCATCACATCCTAGGAATCCCTGCCCAACAACCGACAGCCACAAGGGAGACAATCAAGCACTGTTGACTTGGGAGCTGGAGGTCGGGAACGGGACCCTCGCAACGGTGGACAGCCTCCATGTCATCGAAATCGAACGCCATGGCATCTACGGTTCAATGAGAGCTTAAGGATGCACTTACAATCGGTCAATGAGTGCTCACGGGATGCATGAACAGTATACACGCATTCAGGATGTCCCGGGCATGACACCTTCTGAAGTTTTATCATTCTGCGTGGGGAGTCCACAGCTCTAACGATTCAGATGCACCTTTTTCGCTAGGCGGCTCCTAAGTGAGGCATGATGTCGCAAACGCAAACCCAAAGGCTTCAGAAGGTATTGCCATGACCTGACCACTGTATCCATACAGTACAACACGCTGCAAAAGATGCATTCATGCGTGTTGCAGACCAGCGGACAAGTTTGAGCCTATACTGGACCATGTTTCACTGTGTCTGAGCCAAGCACCCAGAGCGATGTCCGCCTCACGGAGCACTTTGTGAATGAGTGAACAACTGCGTCGTGCGGGAATGCGGGAAGACAGGAGATTGAAGACGAAACGCTGCAAGGGTGTAGCTGAGGGTGCCACGTGTCGTCTGGCCAAGGCATGAAGCCCGGCCTGGCAGGCAGCAGCATTCGGGCCCCATGTGATGCCCGAATCGGGTCGAGGAACTACGACTCGGGGAGTGGCTCTCCTGCCTTGTTGCCGCAGAGGGACAGGTTCAAGTGCAGCGCGACGAGATGACTTCGGCGGGTGGAGACCTGCTTTTGAAAGAAGATTGTCCAGCATCTCTCCTTCAGTCCTACGTCTAAGTAGCCAAACCATCTGCCGGTTTGCCATGCAGAAATCTAATCCCAGGCCTCCTGATCAGAAAGGCCCTGCAGAGGGTTTTCACCTTCGTCGGCCTCGCGGCTGTAGGCACCTCTGCAGAGCTTCGCTGTATTCAAATTTCGCTATGTTTGGATGTGGAGCTCCAAATCGTTGCACATACCTTGCTAGTGCAGCTAATTACAAGCTTCCTGCAAGAAGATGGCAACTGCTGCATGCTAGCCAGCGCCGCCGTGCAGTACTTTTGCAGGTGTGCCTTGTATGTGTCCTCGTTCTGTGGGGAAGAGAGCCTGAGGCACATGAATGCACACGCACACCTTCCTCATCAGCACAGGCAAGCTGATCCAGGCTCTACGGCTTTTTTGCATAGAGCACGGTTTCAAGAAGCAGTCCGAAGAGCTTGCCTAAGGCGGAGCAAATCCTGTGATGCCGATCTAGTAGAGGGCAGAAAGGGTCCTTTCGAAAAGAGCAGGAGGAGCAGGATCGCCTTGTACATCGGACTCCGCCGCACGGCATCAAGCCTAGGCAACTGACGAAGCACGGCACCCGAGGATTGTTCCCACGAGTTGTCCGTTCAAGAAACGCCAGTTTGCATCAAGCGACGCCCGTTTGTATGCTTCGGAGGCTTCTTCGTAGCGGTTCTCCCGCGCCAGAGCCTCAGATCACAGAGAGTACGAGAGATGACGCGCGATGACGAATGATGATCGAGTTTTGCGCTTGTCCCGGGAATTCCCACACGGGCACGTGGATACTGGGCTCGCGGCATTGCCGTGTGCCCTCTCCAGCTCCAGGAAGTGAAGCTGTCCTTCCTCCTCCTGGTGGGTGACATTCAGAATCCTAGGTCCTAGGTGTGGGGCCCGAATGCGCCATGCTCGCAGCGTCCAGCAAGCACAGATCAACAGCTTCCGTCGCTGCCAGGAGTGCCTTCGAGTAGTTTGGGCCATCGCAAGCAAGGCTGCAAAGACGCGGCTCAGCTCGCTGCCAGTCTGAAACCTCGGAGTTCAATATGTCAACCACGGCAAGTGATTGCTTCATGTTGCTTCTCAGTAGCCACCGCTGTCGTCGACGAGCTTCAGGTCTGCCCACGCTGCCGTCTGTCCCTGTACCTGTGCCACTCATTGCTGACAGAGTCTGGGTGCTTCGGAGCCAGTCAGAGCCAAAACGCACTTTCTCCAATGCTGGACGCTGCAGCTGACACACAGCTGTTGTTCTCAACTACAATTGACGGGAAGGTCCAGCAAAACGAATGTCCAAGCCAGCGCACGGGCCAGTCTGAAGGAAGATGGTAAGGCTGGCTTGAGGGACTGCCTTGCAGACAAGTCCATGAAGCAACGAAGCACATCGTGGTGGGAAAATGGTCCGGTGTCCAAGAAATCAAGCCTGCTCCGTCGGTGTCAGCGGCGGCAGGCACCTGGCATGCCACATTGTCGCTCGAGCGGTTGTTCGTCACTGTTCCAAGAACTTTGGCTCAGCATGACTCCTTCATCAGCAAGGAGCTCATCCAGCCTTTTGCCGAGAGAAATGAGGAAGAAGGCTTGTCGGGCTGGTTCAGTGGAGGACATGGAGGACTCTGCAAACACAAGGTCCAGTCGGACTCGACTCCACTTCCACTTCAGCGCCGCCTCACAACCCACGACCCCCAACCGTCCCCTGAGGAGCTGACAGCGGGCAGAGCTCAAGGACCTCCAGCCTCCGCCTTGGACTTCTGGAGTGGCTACCACAGCTGGAGCCGGAGCTGGGTCGGATCCGAGCTCGTGGCAATGGCGTCTGGCCTTCGTAGGATGGCCCTGGAGAAAGGGTTTGCTCGAACGATTACAGACTTACAACTGCATAGCAAGCGTTGGCGCCCAGCTACTGAGTCTACTGGACTGCACAAACCTAAACTGGAGGATTGCTAAGCACGGGCAAACCCCGCCTGTCGGACGGCAAAGCTGCACCGCAACAGGGGCTTTGAAGTCGGCGCTCTCACATAGGCGCATGCTTGCCTCTTGCGTGAAAGGCTCTTCGCGTTTGCATTTGCGGCACCAAGCTTTGAGGGCTGCACCACGGCAACTTCAATGTAACCAGGGACGACCTTATCGTCTTGCGTGTGTCTTGTCTGCCTTCGGTTGAAAGACTTTCGAGGGCCCAACCCCTTCTCCGACGCGCCAAGAGAGGAGCGTCCCCTTGCTCTGGCCTGCAGACTTGGGGAGCTCCGGCAGTGCCTATGTATGCGCTACAGACCCCCGCGAGAACCGCCTGGATCCCGAAAGGCGACCAAGACCATGCTGCCAGCCTTCCAAGAAATTGCCGGAAGCGCTGCATCCTTGCAGTTTGATGCAAGCACCCTGGATGCCTCGATGTCGTGAAATCGCCGCTCTGGTCCCTGGCGGATCTCTGTCTTCCTTGGCATCTACCATGGACTGAATCCCAAAAGCTCGGGCAAGCATTGAGCAGCACACTGAAGTGCCGAATCTGCTGAGACATTCCCTGCAGCGGTGACCGCAGACTTGGAAACTGCTGCAAGCTGCTGCACGCTCGGTCTCCAGCCTGTGTCCTCTGCCTGGCACTGGGCTCACAAGCACGGCAAAGAGGCATCGGACACAACATCCATCGCACCTTTTTGTGCTGCAAGCATGCACAAATTCTTCAGCAGGCCAAGGGGTGTAGGATAGTCAAGACACACCCAGGCTTGACTTTGTAGCCTCTTGGTGTGGCGTCTTGTGCGCAGTCTACCTTGCTTGGGGCCACCCGCAAAGCTCCACAGGCTTGCAGAAGGTACAGCACCCACGTTGGGGCACCGACTGTCTGCTTAGCAGTGTCGGAATCGTGATTTAGGGTTTCAAGACCACGCTCAGATGGGTATTTCGACCGCGCAGGTCCGATTCGACCCATTCGGCAATGGTCTCATGGTTTGTCTGATCCTGTTGATACGTTATCCAGCTCGATGTAGACATGCCTCAGCTGCTTGGATACAACCCCGACCTGATGTCAAGAAGCCCTCAGCGTTCTCCCAGCCCGCCACTCTATTCAAGGGATCCACAAGTCAAAGGCGTGAAATCGAGTTCAGGGCTCCGTTCGCTACTGTACAGCAGACCTGCCCGGTCCTCAAGAGACCCTGAACATCCGCACTCCGCAAGCACCAGACAGCAGTCCAAACCGAACACACAAGAACCGGCGCAGCACGTCCGGCCAAGATGCTTGGAGTCGCTGGACTCACTGTCGCCTTCCTTAGATTTTCGTTCACAGGCCTAGGCCTGGGCTTTTCTTGAAACCACGGACCGTGAACGAACGTATCGCAAAAGTGTTCTGCCGAGTTCTGCCAGAGATCATCCCTGGAGCGCCGTCCACACACCGAGATCGGAAATGCGTCACCGAGGAGGCTTCCCTGGCCGACGGCAGAGGGCGCATGCCAATCGGGCTCAAGGAATTCAATCAAATCGCCTTGCTCTAGAAGGACTCGGATTCAATGATTCTGTTGCATTCTGTTCCATACGTAGTGTTGCTGCCACAGACGTGCACGGAGACCTTTGCGTTGGAAAACTAGCGCTGGGCTTGCCCAGGGGAAGGCGCGGAGGACAGGACCTTCGCATTAAAGCAGCTTCGCGCCTCCTTGTCGATCGTGAGGCCGAACAGCCGCAGCCGCTTGTATACCTTGATGCTGAGGAGGCTACAAGCCTATCTGGCAAGTGTTGGGGTCCGAAAGGCAGGCAGCAGGGATCCCGTCACGACACCCCCCACAACGCTGAGACAAGAGGCCGAGATGAGGTCCACGATCTGCGCCCAGTTCCGCACCAGGAATTGGAGGGAGCGCTCCACGCTGCTGAAGGCGGCCACGAGGCGCTGCATCTGTCCGAGGCTGATGCGCCCGTCTGCGATGCAGGGAACCAAGGCGAGGTAGGGGATGATCACCCCGAACTGCAGATAGGACCACTTCGCGAAATCGAAGTACATGAAGTTGAAGAAGAGCTGGAAATAGCTGGCACGGACGCTGGCAAAGAGCTCCTCTACGACCTCTGGCTTCGCACGCTCCTCGGAGTCCTCGCCAAAGACCAGCTCCTTTCGGAAGGCGGCCTCGACAAGTTGGTTCTGAAACTCCAAACCCGGAAGCCGCATCCCGACCACGGCGAGGCCCACGGTGCCCAGCAGGGCCCACGTGATGGTGAGCAGAACCATGGCATGAGGCACTTCTCCCAGAATCGGCAGAGCTTTAACAGGTTTCGAGAGCTCGAAAAGGATAGGCACGAATGCTGCCAGAGTCATGAGCGACTGAAGAGCCGTCGCCCCGATGTCTTCCACTAGGCCTGCAAAACGCTTCGTGTCCTGAGCTCAAAAGCTGTGCCGTCGCATGCGAGGCCCGTGGCCAAAGGGACAAATAATGTCTTCACCTACCGCTCTCAACCAACATCTTGCAAAACATAAAAGCACAATGAACTAGAATCCGAGTCTCTTCCTGGACTCGCTGGCTGGCCCCCTCGATGTGCCGGAGCTCTTGCCAGTGACTCATGTAGTAATCATTCATTGCTTGCCGCCAGCGAAAGGTCCAGTGCTTCGTAAAGAAAACAGACATGACTGCCACTACGATGTAGGTTCCAGCTACTTCGGAGAAGGTGAATAAGTATCCATAGATCTCATGCTGAGACACGTTTGCCTCTTTTGACAATGCCTTCTGTATCAAGTCGTAGAAGTCTCCGAACCAAGCATTGATCACCACATCAAGGTGAACCTGGTACCATGTCACGGCACCGATGAGAATCATGCCCGGCCACGACCAGTAGAGCCATCCCGGCCGACAGAAAAACTCTGTCCACATGATTCTGTGGAAGGTCGAGGCCCCGTCTACATCCTCCTTGAGCGACACAGTGTCCATACATGTCCCGATCCAAGTGGTTCAAGTGGGCTTTGGAATGAACATGTACCAGAGTGAAGTCACGAAGCTACCTTCACGTTACCCGGACCAGACCCCTTAAGGTTTGGGGCCCTCTTCCAAAGCGAAGCTGACTGCCTGCACTGCTTCTCCAGGTGGCGCGACCGGGAGAAGGTCGCGGCGTCGCCAGCGCAGTAAAGTGACTTCCTTCCAAAGTGATGAGCCAAGCCCGGACAACCTGCTATTGCATCTGGTTGGTCCACCTGCCTGCCCACTCAGGATACCAATCCGAAAGCTTAGACAACTTGAAAGAAACCTCCCGCGCCCAGGGCTGCATGCTGGGGATCCGGCCAGCTCGGTCCTGCTGCGCAGGTGCTTTCCGGAAGGCTGGAGAAGGGCAAAGATGCAAAGAATGCAAACTTTAATCGCGATAGAAGCAACGTAACTAGGACCAGGACAGAGTTTACGCATACACCTCGACCAAATCAACTTGCGACATCCCATCGCGTACCGCCGCGCAGACCCTTCTCAGCAGCTCGGCACCGATCTGTCATCAAAAACGAGGCAGCTCCACGTCTGAGGATTGGGCATTCCCTCCTGCAGCCAGGTTGCTGCATGAAGTTCCAGCATATTCCAGCAAGTTGCCCAAGGTTCCAGATCAAGCACCCCGTCGTGGCTGGAATGCCGCAGATGACAGTCGTGGGGCTGGGCAAAACTGCATGTTCCCTTCATCATGGAGCATGCGAGGTTTGGCTGCTCCTCTTCGGCTCCGCCGGACAGAAGTCGCCTGGCAAACGCGCGCGCACGCGAGGCTGGCGAGAAAGCGCTCTTTTGCTTCGCCCCTACGCTGCACTGACTCATCAGTCGGTGGAGCACAAGGCGTTGGTGCAGATCTGACCAGAGCGAAAGCGCTTGATGCTATGAACGACAGTTCAAGTCATGCTGGCACAGCACGTCGTGCGACCCCTCACACGCGCGTTCACAAACATGGGCACTCCATCTGAACAAGATCGAGATTGTTTTTTGAACCCTCGTGCCTCTTAGCCGATGCCACGAGACTGAGAGAGAACAGTTAGTTGAGATTCAGCACCATACCCACCATGCTTCACAGTACTGGCTCTCTCAGGCTTCCCTAGAACAGTGCAGCTGCCGCAGCTTAGGTAACACAATTTCCACAGCTCCAAACCCGAACTAATATCATGCCACTACCACAACTACAACCCGGCCCAAGCATGCAGCCTCAGTGTCACCACGCAGCTTGCTCAACGATGCGGACGCAGTGCACAGAAAAAGCTCAACTACACCCGATAGCCATCATCCACATCCCTTGAGTAGAGAATTTCTACCACCGACGGACCCTTAGGGTGTAGGGTTTAGGGTTTATGGGGGTTTTCTAAGGACCACCCTAAACCCTAACTAATAGGCGTTCTCAGGAGTCATGCCTCCAGGTTTCCGGTCTGGGGGCTACATCTTGGGTGATAGTGATGTGCCACGTGCACTTATGGGGTGAGCGGTACATAATAACTGGGCCCTGACTGGGCCAGCCAGAAGTAAAGTCCCAGAACCCTACACGTAAGTATGGACCTCCTTCAGAAGCTTTCGTTCAAGACTTGTGAGATTCAGCTCGTACAAACAAGGGCACAAGAAAAAGCGTCAGTGTCAGACTTTCACTTGACGGAGATCCTTGGCTTTCGATGTATTTGGCCTACCAGAACATTGGCTGCAGCACAACCGCTGCGAAGCAACGTCGGCATAACTGTCGTAAACCTAAAAATACCAGCCGGGCATCACAGGCACGTGCAACCTAGTTCATTATCAGGCCCACGCAAAAAGGAGAGGGACCCTCGTGCGGAAGCTTGAGGCTTGCATTGAATGGTGGCCAGGATTAGGGATTAGGGTTAAGAATGGTCGTCGCCGACCTCCGCACTCACGTTCTCCCGACTCTTAAGCTGCAAGGATAGCAAGAGCTGCCATCGCGCACGCGAAGGTTGTGCCCATGCTCTTCTTTGAGCCCGAGATCTCATAAACCAGGGTGGCCGTGGTGGTGGCCCTGGCCGTGACCTCGGTGGCCGAGGCCGTGGTCGTGATCGTGGCCGTGGCCGTAGTCTCCGTGACCGTAGCCGTCGCGGCCGTGGTGGTGAATGTGGTCGTAGTCACAGTCATTGTGCACGATCCCGACATCAATGAAAACGACCAGCCAGTAGAATTCTCTACGTTCAAGCAGTCCTCTGTGGAGTTCATTTGCAGCTCCGAGAAATGGCAGGCCATGCCATCGAACATGGACCACATCAGCTCACCACCCTCGCAATTGGCAGCCATCAAGCCGGGAAAAGCCACGTAATTGAGCACGCACTCGCCCAGACGGAAGTGCTGTTTGTGCAAGGCTTCAGAGCCATTAAGGCAGGCAGACGTGTTCAAGGTCTCCAGCACCACCACCTCGTTCTCATCAACCCACTCGAGCTCCATCAGAGTGTACGCATTTCCCGTCTTCGAACTGGGATGGCAGCCAAGAACAAGCCCGCTTGGATTCGTGCGGCCACAACTGTGTGAAGAGTCGTGCAACTGTCGTCATCATAGCGGCCAAAGGTCACTCGCCGTCCGTGCCAACCTTGACCCAATTGCCGAATGTGAAGGGGAAGCATTCGCCTAGCTCGTGCGATTCTGGATAAAACCTCTGCCCTGAGCAGTCAGGTGGCCCATAGAGTGCGGTCTTGAACAGCTGCACGCTGGCACCTGACACGCTGGTCCACATCAGAACCAAGTCGATGATTGCACGGAATTCCACCATGGTTGCGGGGATCGCGGGAGAGCTTGGCTACCGCAATGCCTTGGAGCCCCAACTTGAGCCAAGATCGAGATTCAGAGACTAGGCTCTTGTGGGGCTTCTGACAGTTGCAGAGTTCGGAAAAGGGGAGCGCAGTATCTTGCGAAATAGCTCATGCCTGCAACAGCCCTCGTGCTTTCGAGTTGAACTCGCCCGGCAACTACGCACACCCTGATCTCAGGAGTCCATGAGCCGCAAGCTGACTTCCCTAAGATGCAGCAAGACGCATGATGCGGATAAGCTCGGCAGGACGACGCCAGACAACACTCATCCTCCTGGCTTATTTCTCTTGATCAGTCTGAGCTTTGGAGGCAGGACGGCCTGGAGGCTCCGGGTGGAGCGATGTCGGCATCGCCGTATTGAAGCTTTTGCAACATTTGCAACATTCAGGGTCCCTATGATGTCGGGAAAAACGTAGGTTCAAAGCGAGTGCATGCGGACGCAATGGGCAATCAAAACCAGACGTGAGGCAAGCAGGACCACCAGCACCGCTTGCAAGCAGACATCCCTGAGCGACCTGAAAGACACTCGCTTCAGTGATACACTTGGGCCCTTTCTGTTCGACGTCCTTCATCGAGTAGATGACATGCTCGAGCCGGGGATAAGGCAGCTCGTCCTCTCATGGACCGAAGAGCTCTAGTTTTGGACGCGCCTCGCAAATTCTTGGACTGACACTTCCCTGTTCAAAGAAGGATCCTTCAAAATGCAAGAGTTTGACAAAGTCTTCTTCAGAATCTGGAAGTTCAACTCCGCCTAACGTGCTGAACCAGAAGCGACGCTCCTGGGTCCAGCAAACACAGACACACTTCTGGGTACGTTCCATCCTGCCTCTCCCAGGGTGAGCTCGCATTTGCGCGGTGAACTCCTTGCTGGCACCGCACACGACAACTCACCAGGCATTCTTGCAGAGAACTAAGGCCACCGAGATTGTATCGTACAAGTAGCACACAGTGAAAGCACTGCAGAAGCGATGCCCAAGGCATGCTTGTCTGAGACCATAATGTGTGAAACATGTCAGAAGGACAATGGAGGGTCGTGTCATGTCGTCTCAACATGAAGCAGAGCAAAACCGCGCTTAATTGACTCATCGATATCCTCTTCGCCCCTGCATCTTCCAGAAGGCAGTAAGAGAAGCTGATAACCTGGACAGAAGCACTACTTAATAACCATGCTTTCCAGAGCAGCTACTAGTTGTGGAAAACCTCATGTCTGCGACGCTCGGCCAACAACTGTTGCGTGGGAAACTCTGAGAAAAGGACGTCCCCTCGACGAGGCCTTTGAAGCAAGACAAGCCGAAGTTCGTCAAGTCATGCTGACTAGTTGAGGTGAGCATGTTAGAAGTGCCACAGCCACCATTCTGATACAGCAGTGGTTTAGCACATGTTCACGTAGTTTGATTGAGGCATCACCTAAGCGAAATCTTCCCACCGCTGTCCTGACCCAGTGCCCTTCGGCGACTGAGTGGCCCACCGCCGGCGGGAAGAGCCGTTTTGCAGGATGCGCTTAGTAACGCTTCGGTCCTCTGTCAGCGCCAGCACGCACTCGAAGCCCAGCAACTCCACCCGTGCACGAAACATGGGAGGTGCCGCAGGTGCTGGCGACGCAGCTGCCGCAGCTGACCCTTTCGCAGCTGCGGCTTCCTCCGCTTCCTGGGCTTCCGCTTCTTGCTTGGCCTTGCGAAACTTCAGGAGGTCGACTTTGGCTTGCTCGGCGAGCCCCTTAGGGGCCGCCGGCAAAAAACGCAGCTTCCGCTTCACTTTGCCAGTCTTCGGCAGCACGCCTGGCTGGGTACGCAGCTGTCGGCCACAAAGCGGGGACAGGATCTTGCTGTACGCTGCTGGGGCGCGGATCTCTGCAACCTCTCCGACCCGCATGCTTTTCACGGCAAACTCAACAGCAAGAGGGAGCTTGTTGTCCCCCATCTCCACCGTGATCTGATCCGCAACATCCTCGATAGACGGGCCATCGAGCTGAAGTGTGGAGAAACGGACTGTTACGATGTCGTTTTGGCCTGGCCGTTCCAGACCTTTTCCCACCTTCTGAATCAACTTCTTCACCGCCCCATCCCGACTGCAGGTGTTCTCATCTCCTACGTGATCTTCGGGTGGCTCGTCGTCCGAATTCCAGGCCGGAGGTGCATCCGAGTTAATGGATTGCACGTCCGACTCGGCGCCGGCATCTTCAGCCGTCATCAGCCTGGTGCTGGCTACCCATGCTGCCGGGGGATGGCGTTCTACGGTACCTTCTGAGGTCTGCTTAAGCTCAGGATTTGTGTGGGCATTCTGCATTGCACGTCTTTGCGTATCTGTATCTGTCTCCATGTGCTGGCGCTCCGTTAGAGTGAGAGTATGTTGCGTTGAGGCTTGGTCAAAGGCACTGTCACTCGTCGTTCGTGTACTGCGACGCAGAAGCACGGGATTGCGCAAGAAATGGCGACCCTCATCTCTTCACAACGATTGCTGATCTTGTACTTGTTCTGTGTTCGAAACAGCTATGCAAGCTAAGGTGTGTTAGGATCCTCAGTGCTTTCACAGCAGAATCACGGAGGCTGGGATCACCTTTCTGGCCTCTGGATTCGACAGTGTGTCCTCGGGATGTGCAAACATCTGACAGATTGGAGAAGCCGTCGCATGCTTAGGCCATGACGTATGCTTTGGAGATCTTTCCAAACTTCTCAGCACCTTGTGCGCTGCGGTTTGTAGTGCATTCAACGACACGGCTTCCCTTTCTCGACTGTGCAAGCAGAGGCTCAGCAGCACAACAAAGCCTCAAGATGTGTCCGACAACCCGAACGGCTAGCAACTAGGAGTCCGACATTCGGTGCAGTCAGGGTTCTTGTCAGGATGGTACTTGAGAGCCAGGGCCTGAAGAGCGAACTAAAGTCAGATCAAGGACTCAAGGAGTCCTTTGGGAGGTGTGGAAGCCTTCGGCCGACTGAAACAACTCCTCTATCAGCGGTACGACTCCTCCCCGCGTACACCCCTGATCAAGATGAAGGAGCCTTCTCGTTGAAGCAGACTCTCAACTCCCAGAACACTCTCCGAATCGAATCTCAGGTGGGAGGAGATGTCTGCCGACAAACACTTTCTTGTTGCCTTGTAGGCCTTCCTGATTTCCATCTGATCCACACCTGCTTGGGCAGCACTCCAGTACGACTCGCATTTCCCGCACAATGCACAACCCGATCTTGAAAGTCCAGCGGCTGGTCCCCCATACTCTATAGTCAACACCACACTGAAGTCATGCTCAGAGGCTCTTCTCACACACTCTGATAAACACGAAGTGAAGGATCAATGCAACGGCCGTGGCCTTTCGTCAGGCCCATGACTTCATAGAAGTTGAACTCGGAGGGTGAACTCCAGGCTTCATCGACGCCACAGACGAAGAAGGTTTCCATCCCCGTGCCCCGAGCACCAGGCCCCATGTTCGTCCTGGTCTGCAGGGTGGTAGCCTGGCGATGCCCAACTAGAGCCAGGCCCTGATGGGTGGTGAATAAAAACACGAATGGAGACAAGCCGTGGGGCAACCAGCACGATGAAAGCCGATCATGCCGTGCTGACTTGTGCTTGCGGAGCAAACCTTTAACAGCAAGAGCCGCCTTCTTCGGCTGCACGGATGGCCAGCCTACATCTGTGCATATTGCCTATCGAACATGTGGGATGCAGAAGCCCTGAGGAGGCCGCATAGCCACAATGAAAGCGACCATGATGGCCGGGCCACCGTAGGTGTTTGCCTGGTAACTGAAGTATGCATGATCACTGACTCTGTACTACTGGACTGTATCGGCACCTTGTCCCGAATGGACTTCACTGACAGCGCATCTGACCTCGGACCGTCTGGTGCCAGGCATCTCCACTGCGCCGAGTGCACTGAGGACCCGTCCCGTCCTTTGAGCCTTTTCCGCTGTTTGGACCTGCAAGGACGCTGCAACGAAGCCCTCCTAAGCCCTCAGCCGCACAGACGCCAGCCTTTCTTCTTTCGATCAGGCTCCTTGCTGCTGCCCTCCGCGGACTTTCCTGATTTGGGCACAGTGCTTAGACCGCTCGAGGGTGCCCGCGGGCACAGCAGTCCTTTCAGCGCATCCAGGATGAAGCCCACGAGGATAAGTCGAAGGAACCGCTCCACCTTGCGGGTTCAGCGATCTTCGTGCTTGTAGTTCTGCGGTTGGTTTCGCGTATCCCGTGCTAAAACTGCATGCTGGGTTTTGTCGGCCTACTCTAAAGCCATCCACTGTCTCGAATGGCTGCAAATGGGGCATCGAAACTAGCCAAAAAACTAAAGGGCCGCAGCTGCTATAAATTGGATGAGGTCAGAGCTGGTGCAGCGTGCCTTCACGAAGGATTGGCTGAGGTCCAGGCTATTCTTTGCCTAGCCTCGCGCTGCCTGCAACAATGCAGATTGCAAGAAGCTGTTCAAGCTGGAGTTCTCAGGCCGGCGTCGGGGTCCGGTTCAATTTCAGATTGTGCGGATCTCACGGATGTGAGCACACCGCTGCGGAAGGAAGGAACGTCCCACTCAGAGCCCATCGGCAGGCGGCGAAACCACTGAGAAAAGAAACTCGCATTGAAATATCATTGAAAATCGCTGAAATGGTCAGCCGGTTCGGGTCGACGGGGCCGCAGTAGCCATAGACTTGTCATCGATTTCGGAGATGCATTCAATGCTGGAGCTGGTAAACTGAACTGGGCAACAACACGACCGATTGATAGTTCAGTCAGCAAGAAACGGCTGCTTGAAGACCTTCGTTTTACAAGAGTCCCTGAGCCCACAACGATCACTTGCAGCACGACGCGCTGCTATTCCAGCGCGACAGCTTTGACTTGGCCAAGCCTGTCCAGCTCCATCTGTGCAAAGGCATCCATCTGCTTCGCCTGACGGGTTTGCATCAACTTGCTCGTCTGCAGCAAAGACACATCAAGCACCACTCGACTCAGCAGCGACTTCCGTCTCTGCTCTGACCGCTGATTTCTGCTGAAGCTGCAGCCAAAAAGCTTAGCAGATTGCCTGGTCCAACTCGTATTCCGCGATATGAAATCTCGCGTTCACAATCTACTAGTTCGAAGCATCCTTTTATGTTCAACATTGGGAGTGCACTGGATCACTGAAAGATGGACACCAAGGACAAATCGAAGATGCCATGGCAAAATCTCAAGCCATCGCAAGACAAACACCCTGACCTGCAGCTTCTTTTTTGGGGCAGCCTCCTTCTTACCCTTGCTGGGAGGACCTCACTTCCACACGCCGTCAAGCATGATGGTTTTTAGACTTTCTCCTGCTGGGACTTTGGCTCCATCCAGAGCTTGGCTGAACGTGTCATATGTCTACAACATGAGCGATTGTTGTGGTTCATGGTGCTGTTAAACCCGTTGCCAAACCCGCCTCATGCGATCGGTCATGCCCTATTGAGCAGCTTCCATGGCAGGAGAGAGCAGGCAGGTTGCAAGGCAAGTGCCGGGTGGCCGGCCATCTCGGGTGTCCTCCTGGCAAGGGAGTGATGCAGAGAATAGTTTCGGATCATGGCAACATCTGCTTAGGAGGCTCTGTAGGATTGCACTGCAATATGTAACACATGTAGCTATGTATGTCAACCGGCATAACCGGCACGCACGGACGGACCGACGGACTGGCGGAGACGGACGGACCGATGGAAGGATGGATGGATGGATGTGTCTGTGTGCATTTCTCTGTGTGCGTACGTGCCTATGACTGCGTTTTGTATCATACATATGTCACGAGTGTACACATATACTGGCTGCCGTGACACACATGCAGACACTTGCAAGTTGACAGACCGGGGACTGAAGGCTTCCTGGCAATCCGCTGGCTAACTGTCCCTGCCCGTTGAGTAAGAACAGTTCCTGAAAATCAGATTGCTGCAACCGGTATCTTTGCAAACTGAAACTCAACACTTTTGTGGCCAATCTTGTCAGCTTAGGGGCCTGGTTGTTTCTAGTCTTGCTGGCTCCGGGCTCAGCTTTTCCGCAGGTACAAAAAGCGGGGACGCACAGCCGCATTCAAGCAGCGCCACTGCCCTCCCTGCATTCTGGAAATTGAGATGCTGCACAAAGTCATGACACGTAGTATGTGGAAGTGAACGTACACACGCACACTCTCTCTCTCACACACACACAGACGTGCGTGCACACCACATGCAAATTGCCTCCTCCTCCTCGTCTTCTACCGTCGGAGCCTGCGACATCTATATAGCTGGAAGAAGAAGCATGAGACAGGCAGGTCCCACCGCTGGGCCCTTAGATGAAAACCGACTTGAAACGTATCCGTCCGCTGCAAGCAATCCTTGCCAGCATCCTTCTTCTTCGCGCCAGCTTTCCTGACACAACTCCGAGGTTGCCCAAACTAAATGGCATGTCTCCAACCAACAATTACGATTCCCGGGAAAATAGCTTTCTCATGCGCTTCGTCCCCCGAGTCCACAAACCCTCGGCGCACCCCATTCGGAGAGGCCGGGCGACTTCCGGCGACGAGTGGCCAAGTGCCCCCAAGCTTGAAAGGGCAATGCCGAGGAGCGGAGTGTCTTGCCAAACTATTCGATGGGGACCCACCACTGTCTCATCAACCGAGGATGCAACCCTTTCTCCGTGGCGATTGCTGGTCTCTTCGTCATCAACCTCAGCTGTGCTGTACACACCGGCAGGACGGGAGCTGTCGGCTCCTCTAGGCAAGATGCCGATTAAAAAGGGATCGGATCAGCGAGGTGAGGAAAGTGCGAGCATTAAAAGTCTCGGGAAAGGTCTTAAAGGTCCAGCTCCAGAGCTGTCGCACCATGTCGCAACAGTCCGGACACCGGATTGGGAACTTGGGCACAAGGCGCGAGCGCAGATTCCACAATCTTGCAGCTCGCGCCGGAATTAGGCTGCGAAAGCCACGACGTTACTCTTTCTTGATTTAGAATCTCCGCTTTCCAGCCAAGGATAACGAACAACAGCCCATTTCGAGCTTTGCATGGACACTGCCTCCCAAGCTCCTTCGGGAGATAAGGGGGCAGGCCCGACGTAACGTAACATGCTTTTGATAGGATGCGAAGCCCCTAGGCGACAGCATCCCCAGCGCTTCGTGAGAGCCTGCCACGCTGCCATACCTGCGAGCTACCTTGAAGCCTGGCATAACTCAGACATAGGCCCTAGGCACGGAGCAGAGCGGATCCTGACTCCAGCGCTGCACAGGAGTTTCAGAAAATCAGGAGTTGGTCTTATCCCCGGAGCCACCCCTGCAAAGGATCAGACGAAATTTGACGCTCACTCAGGCGCAAAGCGGAGACACGCGCCTGACGTAGCTGAGGGCACCTGGAGCAACAGAAGCAGACCGTGACAGGTGTCTGCTCCAGAGCTCCAGCACCGAAGAGATGGGTCCCGCACCGATGTAGCTGAAGGATGCCAGGGCCACCCAGGGCCTTGGCCAGAACTGACCAACGTCAGACCGCAGCCATCAATTGGCGACAACTTTGCAAGAGCCCCTGAGCCTGTGGCACTCGCAAGTGGAGTGGTAGCCTTTCTGGCAGTTTCATGCAAAAAATACCCCCCCCCCCACGCACATCCCCGACTCACAGCTCAGAGCCCCGCCAGAAGTAAGTCACGTAATGCCCTGGCGCAGGGGCTTTAATAGGCCGCATTGAGATCATCGGATTGTATGCATAGCAGGATTCGGATAGGGCACGCCTGGCAGCCACACCATCCAGCTCATCATCCAGTCCTGGACGCAGTTTGCACGGTACCTGCAGTAGCCAACAGCAACGTCAGGTGCCAAGCGAAAGAGGATTGCATGCTGTAGCGTCGCAACCCCCGCTTCTTGGTGTCCCTGCTTCGTGAATGCTGCGGCCAGTGCTTCGCTGATCGTCTGCGCCTTTGCAGCCTGCCATCCGCGACTGTCCCGTAACCAACTCAAGAATTCTCAAAGCACTGCAAATCAGAGAACGAAGAATATCCAGACCTGCCATCGGAACAACCACCTGGAGCCCCCTGTGCTCATCGAAAGTCCTACTGTTCCTAAACCCCAACTGGCAGACCCTGACAGCAGCAAGGCATAAGAACTCTTCAGCCTCCTTCATGACATAGAAAGAGGGAAAAAGAAAGAACGGGTCGGAGATGAAGTTTGTAGCCTGGAAGTGTGCCAAGGACTGAGCAGGTCTCTGCTTTTCCACGGTCTCTCCGGTGTGAGGTCGCATCGGCTTGGACTGGAGATTCGATGTATTGTCGTGTCGACGCTGGACCGACACTGGAAAGTAGTGACGTGATCAGATCAGAAAGAACAGAACTACTCTTCCGCTCCGATCCGGAACATGAATCACGTCATGTCTGGGCTGCATGCGAGATGGCATAAGCATGGCCTACTGCACAGAAGATTGGATGACTACGTCGCGCATCTCTTCAATCTTTGTTCCACATGACAGGGGAGCCTTAAAGCCGAAGCAGATCTGTCACCGAGGCACAGCCAACTTGCAGAAGCTGGCGAGCTTGCTTCTTCCCGGCCAAATTCGTTCGAAAATGACCTTGACCCGACCAAAGCGGGTGACAGTTCTGCAGTCCTCCATGTGTGAAAGTGAGGCTCGGACGTTCCACAGAAAATACTGGAAGCCTCCCTGTACGAGTCCTCCAAACCCCATGAACCTGAGGAGCAACCCACGGCTGCAATGAACTCCACGTTCCGGAACTCGTCATCACGAATGCAAGGTCCCTGCAGGAAGTTCCTCTGCTTGTCAAGCTTCTCTCGACGTTCGATCAGCACCTGCCCGAGTGCATGCGCCTTCATGCATAGAGTGACGATTAAACGATCCGTAAAGAAAGCACACGTCCCCACCTGCACGGCCAAATCCGCTAATGCCGCCTTGATGCTGCAAGACAGCCTCAGTGAGCTGGCGAAGCTTAAAGCAACGCTTTTCACATCTTGCGGTGCCTGCCCATACGTGACTTGACATGAAGAGCTGCATCGTGATGCCCTGCTGCGAATACTTGTCATGCGACACTGTTGATGATGCTAGATCTGAAAATGCACGGCACACTGATGCCTTGGGATTTCCGGAAGAGGAGGACTTCAATTTTAGGATCATGGCTACATTGACACAGACTCTAATGCAGTCTCGAATAATGCAGTCTTCCCGTCCTCAGGCCTCATGGATTCGTATCGTGGCACTGCCAAGCAACACAGCTGTCAATACCGGCCATCGGGCCACCACAGCGCCAAACCGTTGCACCCAACTTTGCACCTCTCTTGTTTGTGCAGCACGATTTTGGATGAGTTGCTGACTGAGGCTGCTGTCTTTGCAAGAAGAAGATATGAAGATTTCGTGTTGTCACGGAAACCTCGCAAAGGCCTTCGTTTACATGGTTTTCGTTTCCTGCACTCAAGCTTGGGTCCCACTGCCAGGATCGCTGCTTCAAGGCCACGGTGAGGTTTGATATCCACGACGTAACGACAGTGAGAAATGTTAAAACCGTACTACCACGTCAAGAGCGCACTTTGCTAGCGCACCAAGGCTGACAGTTTCAACTCATTTTTTGCTTGTGAATCGCACAACATCCTCTGTGTTCCCTGTGAGGCCTGCTCCGGTCTTGCAGGCAGCAGAGCAAGCTCAACAGCTTCTGGCGCCGGGGCCTGCAGAGTCTCAGGCTTTGGGACTGTTGGAGTTGCGGTTCACTGGAGAGATGGAGGCCGACATCATTGCATGCACTGTCTTGCTTCTGAAGCCGTACTTTACACGTTGAGCTTGTCTGGAAGAATGGTTCGGGTTGCCATGTAGCTGTCGCATGGCATGACCAAGGTCGACGCCACCGTCACCGCTCGTCGTAGGCCCAAGCGTGCGGGGCAAAGCGCTGCATTGCGGCGGCCTCTCCGATTTCGGGCATGCAGTCATGCAGGGAGTTGTTTTCTTCTGAAGGGTCGACGGAGAACACAGCACATGCAGGGCGTGCAATCCACGAGTTTAACAATGCTGTCCCCCCAACTTTTCCTGACCATCCAAGGTTGTGACTTTGTATCAGAAAGCTGCATCTTCTTCCTTCACTTCCTTGCTGCTTACCCATCGGAGAAGCAGGTCTTGCAGTTTGCTGCAAAGGCACGGCTCGCTCTCCGCCGCGTGTATCTCATTGTGTAGACGTGCTGTTTCGGAGCCAACGCACACACCGCTGCAAACCTCGTTAAATGTTGCTCGGCGTTGAAAACTGAATGCATTGTTGACCCTTGAACGAGGCGTGCTGTGATCCACGGAGCCCCCAATAGGATTATCCATGGATAGGCCCGCAAAACAAGCAAGCACTATCGCCTTGTCCTAATCTTATATTTTCCAATCGCAGCCAGTCATGATCGCTAAGCCAAGTCCTGCTGACTGCCCGACACTGCTGTTCGTGCATGCGACCGAGGTCATGCAGGTCTCGTGGTTCCACTGTACATTAAAATGACGACGTTGCCTACTGGTGAGGAAGTTCTGGCAACCAGACAAAAACGCCATCAAAACTCGACACGTGGCCGCATGTCCCTTGTGAAGGCGATGCGCAGGGAGGTGGCAAGCAGTGGCGAACTACAAAACGGGCTAAGGCCCGCGTCAAACAAGACGGCACCCGGCCGAGCGTGCAAACTCAGAACACGACGACGTGACGTGGACTGACGGCGAGCGAAGGATCTGGTGCCCTGGGCGGTGAAGACGGAGGGCTGAAAGGATTCTTATGGCATGCCAGCTATGGTGCTTGGCCGCAAACCCTCCGATGGCCCTGGCCACGAGATTGCGCGAAATCACCAGTGTCGGAAGCGTGGTGGCAAGCAGGAAGGAGCGCCAAGGAGCACATCAGCAGGATGTCGATCGATGCCACTGACAGGGAGAGCTCCCTGAGGAGGCCTCAAGCCTCAAGTTTGGGGCGAGTGCGGCCTCGACGATGGAAGTCCTGGACCAAATCGCAAAAGGACTTGTGAGCAAGCACAGCATGGCCGCGCAGGTTCGGTCCAGCAGACGATCGCAGGAGGGCAGAGAAAGCCGCCCTCCAAGACATCGACGCCAAGACTTGCTGAAGTGTTAGTCGAGTGTCTCCATTTGCGTTGCACACTGCATTTTATTGGACCTACTCGATGTACTACCTGCTTGCAAGCTTTGATCACTGCAGAGACACACTTCTTCGGTCCACTCGCGTGCGAGTTATGCTGCTCACTCCTGCTAGCGCAGCTGCTCCTTTCCTGAGGAGTTTGCCAGGTGAGAGCTCCACACTATCTCAATCTGTACAGATGTGAACCCGAGTACCCGAGTGCGGCGTTCTGAGTGCCCCCTTAGGTTCTTAGGTCAACAACCGACAGGGCCTTGGCTTTGCGTTGCGAGCCTGCGCCACTGCGTCGCAACCGGCCTCGGTATGCTTTGAAGCTTTTCCGATCGCTCACGCACGCTCACGCTGGCGTGAAGCCTCCCGACAAATTTCACAAGGCCGTCGCCGGTCTAAAGCATGTGACCATGCCCGGCCAGCCTGAATCACTGGCGGAACATGGCTTGGTTCTGTCAAGGCATCAGGAGAAGCCGCCACTCTCTGGCAGATGCAATGCTCTCTAACGGTTAGACCGCTGTCCAGGAACCGAATGCGGCTGTACTTTCACAGGGAATCAACCTGGCGTTCTGGCCTGCCGAGCGACTTGAACACCGCGCAACCGGCTTATGGGCACCTGCAACGCAGACGCAGTATGTTCTGACGGGCCCGTAATGAAGATCGTTGGAGTTCGTTGATCAACCCTCACAGCACCGTGGCAATGCCTTGGGACATTCGGCTGAAGGATATGAATTGCCGGCCTTGCAGGCCACGGCCAAGCCCGGCATGTCGGAGCAGCGTCACAGCTTTGCGTCTTTGCGTTTTGCCAGTTTCCGCATGCCTGAGGTGGATTGGATCTGACGTTGGAACGTCTGGGATCTGCAAATTGCCAGCTGCACACTTTGCTCTTTCTTGCTAGGAGCCTTGAGCAAAGCGCTGTGGAGAAAAAACGGCATTTCATGCCTGGCCAGCTACCATGAAGCGCAGTAGTTGTAATTAAGACCGAAGAACTCGCGGCTAACCATTGCACCATTCAGCCGCCAGACATCGCACCGGTTTTGCACCTCCATGTCTTTGCTTCGCTTCCAAGTCGGCAAGTTGCATTACGGCATTACGGATGTAAAGCTGGTATGTAGAAGCAGCATCAGCCTTGATGCCTTTACAGTGTTCTCAACTATGCATCGTCTGATGATGTTGCGGTTTTCGACATGGCTCAGCTTGCCCTTCACTCTGGAGTGACATCTCCGACTGCGCCTTAGCTGGAAGTCTGTGGCAGTTCAGGGACCCCTCTTGCTCCCTGATTCGGTGTGACGATCGTGAATGGGAAACGTTTCTGAAACCAACTCGACAAACTTGGACTAACCTATGGTGACTATGGTGGTATGCGCTTCGTCTACTCTTTTCCACCACTTGGACACGTATATATGTCAAGAAAGCTTCCTGCGAGCTCAAGTACCGTACGACTACTATCAAAACTCACAGGATGCCATGGTGCTGAAGGATTTCTTCGTTGAGACTTCGTCAATCAAGCAACTGCAACCACCGAGAACCGAAGCTCCGCTCGTAAGTCTTAGCAAGGGGGGCCGGGGGCCGAGGACTGCAGGTGCAGACAGGCAAGTGTTCGCGTACAAAGCACTGTTCTCCGCTTCGCGCACCTCTTCCGTTCACAGGCATCTCGTCTCGACAGAACGAAGCTCTGCTTCAAGGGTCCCTTGCGAAAGAGTACTGCGAAGGGGAACCATACTCAACTCAGAGCAGCAGGTCTCAGCGGACTTATTTCTAGAAAGGCTTGCCAATCAGCTTGAAGGAGGCCGCTACGAGAGACGGGACCACAAGCAATGCTAAGAACTTCAAGAGCAGCACCACCGTCTCAGGCAGAACGAGCTCGCTGATGAACACAGGAAAGACTATCATTAAGAAGGTGACCAGCGAGCCTCCAATTACTGTTATGATCTCCGTCACGCTAGGAATGACAATAGCCAGGACAGCAGGAACAAAAACAAGACAAATGCTGATGTAGTTTTGCTTTTGTATGGCTGCCTCAAAAAAGGCACCACTGCTGTGAAACCGCACCTGGTTTAGAATAGACTCGCGGACTGGGTATACGTTGAGCGGAATTGCTACGAAGAGCGAACAGGAAAGTAAAACGCGGACCGTCATGAAGATGGGGTCGTTCTGAGAGTACAGCATCATGATTGTGGGAACCTTCCTCAGTTCCTGTCCGAAGGTCTCGTAGCCAAAATATGCCAAGGAGGTGTAAGCAAAAAGCAGCACTGTAGTTGCCGTAAGGACCACAATGAGGCGGCGTGTTGCTGATGGATCACGTAGCTCACGTGCGACAGTGACACAGTTGGTGTGCCACATGAACGAGAATACCTCACATGCTTCACAAGAATCCGGCGTCTACTGCCCACCAAAAACTTGTTTGAATTTCATAGGCTTGCTTTTGAGTGCACGCTCAAATAACGATGCTGACGAAGATGCTGCAACGCACATCCTTAGATGCTTTTTTGCAGACTGCCGATTGCCTGATCCACGACTACTACTGCCTTGCACGCCACGGCTACAGCCAGCACAACGAAAATCCTACCATCTTGCTCAAGTCAAGCCGATGGTCACTGATGGAATTGCTTCATGGTCTGGCTCGGCTGTTGAAAAGTCTGACGGTGCCATGCCCGAGTCCGGATAGTGAAATCTGTAGAACACTCCAAACCTCATAACAGGCTGCACCATGGATTGAGTGAACCACTCTGTCTGAGTCCGTGTGCTTCAGCCAAGCAGCATCATAAAGAGCAGAGCAAACGGGCTGATACTTGCCAGCCTGACGCAAAGAGTCCAACTTCTACTGTACCTTCGTAGAGGTCCAACTCTGAAGTGGAGAAAGACTGACACACAACGACGCACATGAGTCCCCGTCAGCGGTTGCACAGCATGACTGTGCGCTCGTGTGTTGACAGTGCAGCAACTTGCTGGGGTGTGCCATGTGCGCTGGAGTGACCAAATGGCTGCCAGTCTGTCTGTTTCTGTGCCGGCCTTGCAAGACCTCCAACGGACTCTAGTTGAGCCAGCAGCGATGCTGGCACCGCGAGGATCAAGATGACCAGCGGCGAAGGACAGTCCGAAACGAGCGGAAGCTTTGCTATGAACTCAGAGATGAACAGGAAGTAGACCGTCAAAGCCAGCAGCTGGTGCACCAGCAACACAACATCCAAGAGGGTCATGTAGCTAGGCGGCCACACCATGGCTAGCAAGTCTCCATAAGAGGGGCCAGGCAAGTGAGCTTGTTCCACAACTCGAGCAGTGTGCTTGCTGCTCTTGCGATCTTTGAAATCGTAGACAGAGGTACTTCGTTTCCGCTCGAGCACACTCGCCGCCGTCGGTGACAGGAGAGCGTGAGGGTCGTGAGGGTCCGTCGCCGTCGGTGTGTCCAGCCCGCGCGCCTGGCAAACTCAAGGATTCACCGGGGAGCCTACAGGGAGGAAGCGAAAAGAAGAGTCTTCTCCTTCTCCTCTTCCCCAGCCTGAGGCGAGATGAGGCCGACCAGTGAATGCGACGACATTGAATTGCTCAGGAGCCGGGAAGAAATGGACATGATCGTCTCGGGCTGTCTCCTTCCGAAATACAACCTAGTGCCACCGTTTCTATGCGTGTGAGTCTTTGCGCATGTCAGCAACTGCATTGACAGCTTCTGTTTGGACAGTAAAGATTGGTGGAGGCGGGTAAAAGCAAAGGTCATAGGCAAGCAGCATGTTGCAAGAAGGGGCTTACCTCGGTTTCTGCACTCCTGGCTTCGGTGACAGCTGAGAAGAGGATCCATGTTGTTACCGAAGAGATAAGCCAGCCAGCAATGAACAGCACAAGCATCGCCCCAGGCCCCACAGCCGCCATAGCTCGAGGGAGCCTGTGCTGCTGGGGTCTGGTTCTACTTCTTCGCTCTGGAGATCTGCTTCCTAGACATCTACGCTCGTGCTCTTCGTGGACGATTTTCGCAGCAATGCTTTGTAGAGTAAGAACTCCTTGTGAAAACTGTTGTTAAACTTCCACGGCTTTGTCCCGCTGCGATTGTGTGTGTGTATGATGGATTCTTGATCTGTCTTCCGTACTTAATGTCAAGTAAGGCCGAGCGCAGCGACAGTTACAAGTCCCGTTTCTTATCCACAGTTACTCCACTACCCGTAGTTCTGCTTGTGGGTCTCATCGGGGCTGTGGCAGATAACACTTGCGGACGGAGGTGCACCATGACGCCGGAACCGATGCCAGCAGCCAGCAACAGCATGATGGACTCGACAGCCGACCTTGGTTTGCCTGGAGTCCCCTGTGAAAATCCCGCCATGGCTCCACCGGACGCGGGCTTTCCGACACCTCTTGCGAACGAGCGTGGTCATCACGTGCTCAAGTGTTGCCAAGTGCCGAGTCTAGAAAAAAGCCTAAACTGCCGGAGCGTGCTCTGCAGATCTAGGGGTCCTTGTTTTTCGGCACAGCCGAATACTGCTGCGCAGGACAGGCCAAGCACTTTCATGCGTGAGCCGACCACTTGCATGTGTCAGATGGTCGGGCCGGGCCCCGGTCTCTTGCCGGCTTCCTCGCCCTTCTCCACCGTCTTCTTGAGGCCGATCGCCAGCTTGGTTGGGACCTCAAAGGCGCAACATTGCAAACAGCCTTTCCAAAGGCCCTTGCATGGTTTGAGTGTGGTCCTAGCTGTCCTATCCCTCGCTTCGTCTTGGACACGCGCCTGCTTGACACCGACAGCGAGCTTGGTGGTGACTTGCTTGATAGAGCCGGCAATCTGTCCGATGAGCTCTGTCTTCGTTGGGAAGTCCTGCATGGCACGTCTCAGCTGCTCGCTGGAGCTTCTTGAGATGCTTCAAGACCCAGGTAATGATACAGGTAATGCCTTGAGCTTCACAACATCTGCTGGCTCCATAACGTTCCTGGCAAGGCGGCACAGGGAGGACATCGCCAGCACACTCAGCATCACCGCGTACGCGAAGCAGGCAGTGCTTGAAGCCACAAGCATGCCAGCACAACCACTCTTCACTCATCATTCCGCCGATCATCGGCTGAAGGTCGTAAGTCAGATCCTGGCAAGGCGAGTGCCTGTGTCGAATGGGTGTCCCTGTGTGACTCGTCTGTCATCCAGGCCCGATTCCTAGCAACAAGCTGCAAGATCTTGACTCAGACTTCCTGAAAAAGCCCCAGCAACTGAAGAAGCTTGCAGCCATTCGGCATGCAGAGCATCGTTCGCAAGATACCCACCGTGTTTTCGACCCTCAGATGATGGTTCTGAGACGTTCTGAAGATTCTGAGTGCCACACATCCGCCCACTCCTCCCTGAGCACATCGAGCTTGGCCTGGGCCCGGACTGAAAGGCTGTCAAAGCCTCAAATTTCTCGCCGAGATTTCGCCCGAGATCAACCAAGGACAGCGGCTGTCCGATTGAACTGCTTCTCGATTTTCATGTAGGCCTGAAACAGACGATCAAGACATATGCTATCGACGTTTAGGGCAACGCCGAAAAGGCTAGCACGAGACGACGGATACCCTTCTTTTGTATGGGAAGAAAGCGCATCGCGCCGGGTCCGTCGCCTCCGCCCAAAACTAGGCTGGCCGGCGCCGGGGAAGCTTTGAGCTACCCGACGCGCCGCCCGTGGGCGGGGGACGACCCTTGAGTCTTTCAGCAAACGGCTTCGCCGATACTGGGGAGGCCTCCTCCCCACTCCCCAACACGAGGGTGGTAGAGGGTGGGCCGAAAAAGCGATGTCGAGCCGGGACAGCTGCCGGCACGACGAATCGCTCATGTCCATGCGCACACACGTGTGCTACACGACATATGCTATCGACGTTTAGGGCAACGCCGAAAAGGCTAGCACGAGACGACGGATACCCTTCTTTTGTATGGGAAGAAAGCGCATCGCGCCGGGTCCGTCGCCTCCGCCCAAAACTAGGCTGGCCGGCGCCGGGGAAGCTTTGAGCTGCCCGCCCGGCGCTCCCCACCCCCACACAGCGCCGGCACAGCCGAACTACCGGAAAATCAAATAGCGCAAGCTCTCAGCTCCGCCGCTGCTCCGTGGATGGCGAACTCGAGGTCGCCAGCAGTCTTGGCCAGGATGGCGCAGATTCTGGCCGCCGGTGTGCGTACTCTGGTCCAGCCCATCGCCTCTGCCGTAGCCAGGTCGCCGCGGGACACCGCATCCGCCACATTGGCCTTCGAAGGTACCCGCCGGAAATCCGGCAGCCAGTCCATTTCCGCTGCTTGGGACCAGAACGCCGCCAGGACGCCGTTGACCGCGGGGTCCCTCCCGTAGCCCTTGGTGAGGGCCCACTGGCCGGCGACGTTATCAATGAACGCCAGCCAGCGTTCCGGTAACCGCCGCGCCAGCGTTGTCAACGCCAGGACCTGGGCGACGATCTCGAGCACATAGATGAAAGCCCGCCTGGAGCCGAACGCCACCAGGAAGGAGGATGGCGCCTGGCCGTAGTCATAGTAGGTCTCGCCGCCGACTCTGACCACGTATCCCCAGCCGTTCTTGCCGCGTGCCCCTTTTGGTGTGGGCAGGTCCGCCGGCAAGAAGCCCGCCTTGTGCTTGACCTCGCCTGGTTGGAAGAACGCGTCCGCGTACACCAGGGCCTGCGGGGCGCCGTCGTCGACGAACGGCACAAACCGGGGCCGGATGTTCTTGAGTAGCTGCCGGAGCGCCCGGAGGGCCGCCGCCAACCCCAACGACAGCTCTGGTGATGACTCCGCCGCCGCGTCGTGGGCTCTGGCGTAAAGCGGCTTCAACGCCGCCTTGCCGAGGCAGCCGAAGGTGGACTGGGACGCGAAGCTCAGCTTGCCCGCCAGCTTCTGCGCCGCGTGCGGCTGAAGGGAATTCGTCTCCAGCGCCGCCTCGATGGCCCGGAGGAGCTTAGCCACCCTAGAGGGGGTGGGTCGCAGGGACACGCCGTCCGCCTCGATCGTCATTTCCACTCCTTGGACCACGTGCCGGGCCGCCGGCTCCTGGGCCTTCGACGGCTTGGTCTGCAGGCCGAGCTCCAGGAAGAGGTCCGCCAGGGAGTGGAAGGCCGACTCCGCGAGCTCCGGGAGGTCGACGCCGTTAAAGTCGTCCACGAAGTGGCCGCCGACCAGCCACAGCAGGACGCGGGTCAGCGCCTGCATAGCGTCCGCGGCCCTGTTAAAATTCCAAACCGACGCCGCGGCTCCAAAACACATGGCCAGGTGAAACCAGAGTGTCAGCCCAGCCGGTGTCGCCAGGAATGTGCCGGAGTGGGCCGGGTGCCGGACTGCCCACTGCCGGTAGGCATTGAGCAGGTCGTGCCCGAACAGCCTGGCCGCCGGGACCCCACGATTCCCTGCCAGTTCCACCACGCGCCGGATGAAGTCCACCACGTCATCCACGAAATGGTGGGTGGGGACGTCCCGCGCCAGGATCGTGGAGTTGTGACCCGAGCGCCGCCAGTCCTCCCCTCGACGCACTTTCGTGTTCCCCTCGCCGTCCTCCTGCACGATGGCGAAGGACGCCGCGGCAAAATGGCGGCCACGGGGCGGCGGCACCAGCCGGTCGGCGCCGGGCGTGCTCAGCACCGGCACGGTGACAATGTTCCACCCAGCCGGCGGGGCCGCCGGACCAACCACCCTGCCAAGCCGGGCCTCCGCCACTAGTTCCGTGAGGAGGGTCTCCCAGTGCTTGCCGGGCTGCGCCGCCGAGGCTCGCTTCCGGACGTATTCCCAGTTGGTCGCCGCCAGCTGGTCCAGGGTCATGTCCATGCGCACACACGTGTGCTACACCACAATCCAAGGCTCAACGTTCCGGGTGGGTGCAGTTGCGGGGGTTTCGGTGAATCGGTGTGGTCAACTGGCATTTGGATGTAGTCGTGCCTACTCTAACGCTTAGGTTTGCTTCGAACGGGGAAGCTGCGGCCTCAGCAATCCTCTCATCTCGGTTGAGGCAGTGATGGGACTTAGACTTGTTGAAAGCTCGCAATTGGCACACTGGAAAAAGCCGCCTGAATTGAAGGCTTGAGGTCCTTGTCGGTCTCCACGAAGACATAACTGCAGCAGCGCACCAAGAAGCGACATCCGGCAAAGTTTAACAAATGTTGCGGAAAAGGGCAGTATTGCCACACATGCAGACTCACGCTTGCGGACTGAGCGGCATGTTGGAGCCCTTGACCTTGTCCCTCATAGGTTCCCATTTGGTTCCCTCCATGGCTTTCCTGGCAAGCTATCTCGAGAAGCCCTATGTGCACGGGATGTTAAATTGGAGATGAGAGAACACTGAGAACTTTAGGGACAATCATCCAATCTATCCCAGCTGCCTGAGCCAGTTGTTGTTGAGGTGGCGCACGTTGACTGTGGGTGGGAAATAGCTCCTCGCTTCCTTCGCTGACGTCAGGAGAGGAAGCAAGCAGCAATCGTTCGTGCTCATAGGGTCAGGTGGAACCAGGATTCTAAGCACCCTCAATTTGCCTTCGTCCCTTCAGTAGATTACCTCTGCGACCGAGGGTTTCTAACTACCGGGCATCTTCCCTTTCTGGAACAATCGCAGAGCTAGAGTCGTAGACTGAAGACACGCGACCAGTGGCTGCCAAGTATGCCCGATGAGAGATGCAGGGTGCAAACCTGCCCATCGAATAGTACTGAGTCCTCCATTTCGTTCGGAAGCATCTTCTCTTTGTTGAAGCCCATGAACTTAGCATGCGGCCAGACTGGTTCCACGGTCCCTCCGAAACGCAAATACATACGGCCACAAATTTGCTAACGCTGAAACATTGCCGTTCGTGCTTCTACGGATTCTACCAATGCCGGTCATGCAGACCGTGCTTAGCTGAAGCATGGTGGCCAACAGCTTGCATGAGAAAGCTTGCAGTCGGTGTCCGAGAGCTCAGCAAAAAAAGTCTTGTCCAGCTGACGTGTAATGGCCTGCACACCGGCTACATTCAAAGACTGACGCGCCTATGCTGCGGCAACGTTCATTGCAATCAGGCAATGGACTGCAATAACCCTCTCGATGGCGAAGACTAACCTCTATCCAGCATGGCCTGAATCTGCTTGTGTCTGCGGGCCTTGCCGGCACTGATCCTCCTTGGTGTTCACAAAATTGAGATTATGCTTCACTTTCCATTCTGGGACTGCTGTCGCCTGTAGCTCAGGCACTGGCGACCAGTGCAATGGAAGATCTTCCACCCTCGGCGACCACTGGTTGCAAGGCAGGCAACACTATGCTGAAAGCAGGCAAAGTCGATGCATCCCAAGAGCGTCAATGCGAAGATGTCCTCCCTGGTCACGAACCTGGCTGCACCGTCGGCATCAACCGACGTGACCGCAGTGTCTTCCAACGGAAGTTTCGTCGTGCTCGTACGTACTAGTACTAGTACTAGCTACTGGCTACTAGCTACTAGCTACTACTACTACTACTACTGCTACTACTACGTCTACTTCTACTTCTACTACTACTACCACTACCACTACCACTACCACTACTACTACTACTACTACTACTACTACTACTACTACTACTACTACTACTACTACTACTACTACTACTACTACTACTACTACTACTACTACTCGCACTAACTACTACTCACTGCGAACTACTGGCTAGTGACTACTAACTACAAAACTACAAACCACTCACTACTCACTACTTACTACTTACTACTTTCTACTTACTACATGCTGCTACTACTACTACTACTACTACACACCGCTAGGGCATCGTCAGCATGTGTACTTTCTGGCAATGTGCAAAAACATGGGCCCGTATTATGTTGTTTTCTGTACTACTACTACTACTACTACTACTACTACTACTACTACTACTACTACTACTACTACTACTACTACTACTACTACTACTACTACTACTACTACTACCACTACTACTACTACTACCACTACCACCAGCACTACTACTACTACTACTACTACTACTACTACTACTACTACTACTACTACTACTACTACTACTACTATTATTAATACTACTACTACTACTACTACTACTACTACTACTACTACCACTACTACTGCTACCACTATCTACTACCGCTGCAGCTAAGAGTCCTTCTTCTCCTACTTCTCCTACTTCTGCTTCTCCTACTTCTCCTACTTCCCCCCTACTTCTCCTTCTGCTCCTTCTGCTACTGCTGCTACTGCTGCTATTGCCAATGCTTCTGCCGCTCCCACTCCCACTCGCATTCCTACTCGCACTCCTACCTCTGCTCCGTAGCAGTTGCAGTAGCACGTCACTCAAAGCTACGTGCTCCAAGGATATGCAACGAAATCAGCACCGATGGAATATGTTGAACTTCCGGGATAAGAACGCGGAACTTGAATTCGACCAGCTTCTACCGAACTTGCACCGAACGAAAAGAAGAAGGCCTCGCGGCTCGGCTTCTGCGCTGGCTGCGGAAGGCAGCGCCTGCAAGAAGACCTCCGAGGAGTAGAGACCTCGGCAAGACGGAAAGCGGAGACGGCGCAGACGGCGCTGGAAGATTGTCACCTACTTTCTTTTCCCTGTCGGATCCTTCCATTCTGCATCAGAAGACAGGATTCACAAGAGTGTGCAAGGGTTGCTCTGGAGTTGAAATTCAAGAATTTGATGGTTTTTCGTGTCGTGGTATATGCACAACACCGTACTTACGCCCACTCCAGAACGTCATTCGTGGAGCCATTACCGCACCTTCCCGGCATGATCACACTGCTTTTTGGCCGCTGTACAGGTTTAGGCCCGAGTTCAGCCTGATGCCGTAAGTCTACCAGCGCCGAAAGGTGCGCTTCCGCCGCTTCTACCGGCAAGTACTAGCAGGCTACAGTCGTGACTGCTCACGCTGCGGCGGCCAGGACGAAGACATGCCCGCCTGGGCCAACATGCTGCTGCTCCAACTGCTTCCCTTTGAGTGAACTAGCATTCACTTCCGCAACAGCTACCCCGTCTTGCTAGTCGCACTGCTTATGTCCGTACTCAGCCCTGCATTCTCACTCCCTTGATGCTTTCAGCCACGACATGCGGCAATGCCACGAACCAGAATGCAGGACCACCTCACAGACATGCTTACTTTACCACGACCGGCAGGCTTAGCCCCGTGCACGACACATGCCAGTAGTTTCAGACCATTTCAATATGACTTTCCATGTGGTTTCAACCCCACGATGATGCCTGGGGTGCTTTTTGCAGGCGCTGCAAGGCAGAGATGAGCTCCTGGCAATCGCCACAGTCTAAGATACAAGACCAAACATTCCCTTACACCTTGTGTGCAGATCGTGCTTTCTCTTGCGCCTGCACTCCGTCAGCATCCAGCGCATCTGGGAATGCGACCTCGAGGCTGAAATAAGATCTCATGTCGTGAAGGGTTTCGACGGAAGTCAGATAGATGAGATGTTCCGAAAATGTCAAGATGCTACCTGTCCTCATCCCACTTTCCTGCAACTGCAAAATTCAGACGCACAATGTTTGCACCGAATGCCTCGTAGACCATCTATATTGTGAAGTGAAACATGGACCAACACGTAAGATGGCCTCTTCAAGCCCTGGTCACCAGCATGATGGAAGTACGTGCTCCCTCTCGGAGGCAAACCCTCAGACCCAAAAGAACTGAGCACCGCTAAATGTTCTGAAGCTTCACTGTGCTTCGCCGTTCAAAGCAGATCAAGCAAACCAAAGCCCCAAGCATTGAACATGACCCCGAGTGCTAGGCCGGCCCCTCGATGCAAGGTGTTCCAAATAAATACGGGAAATCGCCACGAAGAGCTCCCAAACAGCTACAAAAATTCATGCAACGCAGCAACGCAGCTGCTCCACAGGCCTCAAACTTCACGCACAAGTCGCCCCGCTGTGAAGATCCCATCTGTCAGGGGGGATTCGGAGTTTCAGGTCCCTGAAACGCATGAGCTCGGACCCTGGAGGCCTGAATAAGCCACAATAAGCCAGCTATGAGATCTACCCATGGTCCAGCCATCATTGATATCTTCCTTCAACCTTCATTCTTTTCAAGGACCGATCACACGCTACTAAAATTCTTCTTTTTGGCTTGATCTCCCATTTGCTTTTATCCTCCTCGTCCTTTCTTTCTTTCTTTACTGGATCCGGCTGCACGCAAATTGAATTACATCCTCGACCCACCCCAACAAAAGTTCACGGCACTTTCGGCACGTCTCCGCTGCTGGCTTCTGGACTGTCTGACAGCTTAGCAGACATTTTCCGGGGCCCTGCCTTGGGCATGCCTTCTCCGCGGATGTGCTGGACGGATCCCGGCTTTATCACCTGCACGAGCATGCCGCCGATCTCGAACCCAGGGACCAGTGAGATTGTTATTAAATGTTTTTTGGGGTCGTATGTTGACGTTTTTGAAATCCCGTGAGAACCCATCTCCATACAAAACCTGACTTTCGCGACCCGTGACCCCCACCTGCCTTGCCAGGTGTTCCGTGAACTCGCAGCTCACGGCCATCCAAATGTCGCAGCCTCGCAGTACCGAGCGCCAAGCCAGTTGATGCAGCCTGGGGTGGGCTTGCAGACTTCTCAAGGCCTCGCAGCTCTGCCGGTGAGGGCATCAGCCAAAGAAATCTGCAGAACCTCAGCAAGCAGCAAAGACGAAATGCCCACCGGGACAGCGCTTGTGCACGGCCGAGCCAAACAGAAGTCACGGAACAACAAGGCCGCTGCGACGTGGAGGTCGTCTCCGTGACGCAGGAAGCGTGGGTGCGGCTGCACCTGCGCCAACGGAAGAGGGCAAACAACTGACGTAGTTACGGAGCGGTTACCGGCGTCCGGTCCGTCCGGTCCGTGCCTTGATGATTCCCAGCAAATCTCTGCAGGGCCTCCAGACCCATGGCTCACGGCTTTGTGGTTAAAGGAGGCTTTCTCTTTCTCTCTTTCTTGGCTTCGTGGCTTCGCCTTCCATCCTTCAGGAAGGGAACGACGGATCTTGGCCCAGCGACAGCTGTGGAGTAGCTGCGTGGCTGCCGAAACGAATCTCAGCAGCACACCCATCATCCATCCCAGCTTGAACCTGCATCTGAAGAACCTGACCAGGCGTGCCGCCACAAGCACATCCGTGAGTCCCCGAGCTTCAACCCCGCAAATTCCGCAGAGTCAGCGGCTGCACCTCGTGCTCCTCGCAAAGTATAGCTCCCTTCTACGTTCGGAGCGCAGATTGCAGAGAACTACCAACACAGAAACTTGCAAGGTCTCCTCGCGTTGCCCAGAGCCGTGGCAGAGACTGCACCTGCCTCTGGAAAGCCAGCCTCGCCCCTGGCAGTATTTGCAGGCCATCTGCACCTCCACAAGAAGCTGCATAAAGAAGAAAGGCTTGGTGCTCATGACTGATTTTGCCAGATTCGCTGTCGAGGCTTCTAAGTAGATGCAATTGGCAAGCACTGTCCAGACTCCTGTACGCAAGTCCCCTTCAATTGGCCGACTGACGCAAGTCTGACAGGCACGCTTCCAACTTGAATGAATTCGTTTCACTTGCAGTGCCAGCGAGAGCAAAGGCAAAGCCCTAAGCCCGTTCCAGCCTGAAGAAACCCTGGCCCGCCAGCGCGGCGGACCCGAACTCCGGAGCCCTGGAGCGAGGCGACGCATCCGAAACCGAAAATCCCAACTCCTTGTGGCAACTCCCGTAATAAACGATTCATCCACACACCTCGCATGCGCGACAAGCAGGGCCGGGAGTTTCTCCGGATACACAGGACTCGCACGGAGATGTCCTGCAAACACGGAAAGCAGGCGGACGAAGGACGAAAGCTCAGGCTTTCCGATGCGCCTCTTGATGCTGACCGTCTTGATCGACCCCATGAACACGTCTTCCAGCGTCACAGAAATGCTGGCCTTCCGACAAGGTCACAAGGGCCTCATCCCTCGCAGCAGGGGGGCCTGGCCTTCACGGGCGCAGAATGGCGGGCACCAAACAAGTTTGCGAAACCTCCTGCTTCCGCAAAGAAGCTTCTGAAGAGGTCGAAGACCACTTGGTCTGCCCCGGTGCCTTGGCACCACATCGAACAGCACAAAGTGAGCGAAAAGTAGCAGTTCAGGACTCAGGATTTCTGCCATCCACTGCCAGGGGAGCAGACGTTCTCTTGGCTGAATCTGCTGGGCCTGCTCGTAGCCCTGTGCACAGGGCGCGGAGTAAACGACTGACTACTGGATAGGATCCTTGCCTCATCACCCAATCGGTCGTATTGCGCTCGGCGGTCCTATAGGGACATGGGGATGGTCCGCTGCTGATCTTCTACTGCACAACCTCCTGGAAAACTCGCTACTGCCACGCCTTACACCCATTATGTCTTTCTCCGACACCTCTCCAAAGAAAAACCGCTGCCACACCAGCACTTCTGCGTCTTGCTGGAGTCACCTATCCGCGCTTAAAAAAGCCGAATCAGCCCACCTGCATTACAAAAGTGCAGTCCTAACCTCGGTCGATGATGATTTGATGATGATGATGATGATGCTGATGCTAATGCCTGATGCCTGATGCCTGATGCCTGATGCCGATGCTGCTGTGGAATCTGATTCTGATGCTGATCAACTAGGATTTTCGATGGGGCAGGCTACGCTGGTACTGGCAACATTGGAGAGGGGCGCACGACGTAGCAACGAGTATGGGTACTTCGCATGCGCTGCGGCAGTCTACATTGCTGCGTGCCACGAACTGCAACCGACCATGGGATTGGAAGAGAGGAACAACTCGAATTCTTGCCTGCAGTAAGAACAGTCAATGTCTGCGAGTTCTCTCTTGGAAACAATCCCTGACCGACGCAGTGACCGACGCAGTGCATCGGTCTCGCGGCGGCTCCTGATCGCTCAGAACTTCGTAAGCCGAGCTCAAGTCCTGCAAGAAGCGTTGTAAACACACACGATGACGCATGATGACACATGCACTACAGAGCTTGCCATTGCCGAAAAAGCAACCCTTCTAGAAGCCTCTCATTGAAACGCTGCTTGCAGGGACGTCCCTCTGTCATGCTTGTTGGATCTAGGGCATCACACATCTCAAGCAGCATGGACGCGACACACAGGGAAACTCTAGCACTGCACAAGACACTGGCACATGGTCAGAGTTTTGGCGACAACTGAATCTGACTGATTCCACGATTCCGGATCACTCCGGCAAAGAATCTGGCACCTTGGGCCAACAGCAGTAAATGGTCGGGCACGCTTGGCCCGACATGCCCCCTCCTTTCCACATGGGGCGGGCTGGGTGGGTGCTGCTAATCGCACTTTCCCGCAGCAGTACCTGAAAGGTCAGCACCTGACACACAGGACCTGGACAAACTGAATCATGTCAGAAACGCGTGCTACCTGTTGTTCTGTCTGATCGCCCCGTGCACCTAACCAAGCCAACCTTTGCAAGGGGACCATGCGACAGGCGCGCTTGCAAGACAACGAGATAGGCGCAAGACATGAAACCAGGATGTTGCGTACCTACATCTTCCAGCCCAGCAGAGGCAATCTCCAGTGTCTGTCTCCTATGAGAGTCCGGCACCACCTCCCGGCATGAGCAACTCTCCCTGACCTCCCTCCTGCAGCCACTGACGAAAAACATGCATCAACTATATCTATCACTCATGTTTCGTGACTGAACACCATGGGGATGGGTCAAACAGAACGTGATTTTCACAAATGCTCCGCATAGATCCTGCAGCCACAGAGGCATCCAGACACGAATGGAAGCCTCTCGTTGACACGCTGCTTGCAGGGACGTCTCTCTGGCATGCCTGTTGGACCCAGCAGCCTCTCAATACAGCAGCTGGGCTCTAGGGCATGCGACAGGTGCGCTTGCAAGACAACGAGATAGGCGCAAGACATGAAACCAGGATGTTGTGTACCTACATCTTCCAGCCCAGCAGGGGCAATCTCCAGTGTCTGTCTCCTATGCGAGTCCGGCACCACCTCCCGGCATGAGCAACTCTCCCTGATCTCCCTCCTGCAGCTACTGACGAAAAACATGCATTAAGTATATCTATCACTCATGTTTCGTGACTGAACACCATGGGGATCGGTCAAACAGAACGTGATTTTCACAAATGCTCCGCATAGATCCTGCAGCCACAGAGGCATCCAGACACGAATGGAAGCCCCTCGTTGACACGCTGCTTGCAGGGACGTCTCTCTGGCATGCCTGTTGGACCCAACAGCCTCTCAATACAGCAGCTGGGCTCTAGGGCATGCGACAGGTGCGCTTGCAAGACAACGAGATAGGCGCAAGACATGAAACCAGGATGTTGTGTACCTACATCTTCCAGCCCAGCAGGGGCAATCTCCAGTGTCTGTCTCCTATGCGAGTCCGGCACCACCTCCCGGCATGAGCAACTCTCCCTGATCTCCCTCCTGCAGCTACTGACGAAGAACATGCATCAAGTATATCTATCACTCATGTCTCGTGACTGAACACCATGGGGATGGGTCAAACAGAACGTAATTTTCACAAATGCTCCGCATAGATCCTGCAGCCACAGAGGCATCCAGACACGAATGGAAGCCTCTCGTTGACACGCTGTTTGCAGGGACGTCTCTCTGGCATGCCTGTTGGACCCAGCAGCCTCTCAATACAGCAGCTGGGCTCTAGGGCATGCGACAGGCGCGCTTGCAAGACAACGAGATAGGAGCAAGACATGAAACCAGGATGTTGTGTACCTACATTTTCCAGCCCAGCAGGGGCAATCTCCAGTGTCTGTCTCCTATGCGAGTCCGGTACCACCTCCCGGCATGAGCAACTCTCCCTTTTTGTTGTCGCCAACAAAGCCACTGACATGAGCAACTGCTAGTCCGGCTCCTGGAAGGCCTTGGCATCGCCGCCCCGGTCAGGGTGATGCTTCAGCGCAAGCCGCCTCGAAACGATGCGAAGCATCAGCAGCTCTTCTTTCACGAAGGAAGTCTGGGATAATGACTTGTATGCACGCTTGATGTCCTCCGGCGAAGCATTCGGAGACACCCCCAAGCGGTCGTAGAGCCGTCGCTCGGCTGGCATCCTCTGACACATCACGCCAAGCACTCAAGCAGATTTCCAATCTCGCCACAGAAGTCCCAAGCCTAAGCACACTTGTCGGCGCGACAATCCATGGCGGGAGTCCAGACTTACTTCAAAGATCTCACTATGTCGCGTCTTTGTCTTGCTGATAACAGACAAACGAATGGCTGCTCACGGGACACATACGCGGACCTGATGGGGATGGTCGAGGCATCTTCGAGATGACGAAGTGTGGCTGATGTGGGCTTTGAACTTTTGAGGCTGCTCGAGAGGCAGTTGAAAATGTATGCACATCTTGAGACTCTTCTTGACCATCACGACTGAAGTTCTAGTCATTCTAATGTCACATCCTTCAGCAATAACAAGCACCGCCCCGTCACAAGCAGCAGCCCGGGTGCCGTGCACCTGGCCGAAGGATTCGTACCGCTCCTGTGTGCCGGCACCTGCTTGCAAGGGTTCAGCCGTCAAGTCGAGCTGGAAAGCTGGGAATTGATGCTGAGCTCAAGATCTCAAGATGAACTCTTCTTGGAGGGCTTACCCAGCCCCCCCCCCCCCCCCGCCACCTCTTCCCAAGGAGGAAACGACATGTCGTCTTGAGTAGGACAAAGCACTAGTGACTGGCGATTCGAGGCTTCCTTGATGTCGTGCGCAGGCAGCATGTGCCGCAAATTACAATCGTCTTGAACTTGTGCCAGATTAACATGCTGTTCAGGTTCACGCGTCTTGTCTGGTTCTGCTACCTGGACTTGCCCTGCTGGTCTTTTCCAAACCATACTTGTCAGGACAACAAAGCACTTCAGAGCTCAGGGACTTTACAGACAGAATCGCACTTCATTTCCGTTCATCTGTACAGGTTTCTCCTGTTGGTTTGCTTTTGAACCAGCTTCTGTTTTTTGCAAATTGGTGCATACAAAGTCGTTGATGACATGCGGTGTGCAAATAGACATCTAACCCGCTTAGCCCGTCGGAGTCTAGCCCGTCGTATGCTTAAAACGTCGGGTATCTGCAGGCTGGAATGAGGGGTAGAAGCAGGTGCAACGTGGGGCGTTGGCTCTTGGATGCTTGAAACTTTGGTTGAGGGGAGGTGGATAGAAAGCGGATGATAAGCAAGGCTTAGCTCTGTCGCTTGCTCCACCGTTGCCACCTCCAAGCCCTCGTTGCTCCGCAGAGCAGGGGGGCAGAGCAAGGGGCGAATACAGAGCGGGCCAAGGCATTGGGTTCTCCTTGATGCCCCCTCCTCTCCAGTCGTCTGGTTGAGAGCGGTCGAGACTGGTCGAAGGGTCGAGACTGGTCGAGAACGGTCGAGAACCCTGACACCTTGTGGTCTGCTTCCGCAATGGTAGAGAGTGGTCCAAAGTCGATAGCATTGGGACCAGTCTCGACTGCTCTCAACCAGTCTCGACAATTCTCGACCAGTCACGACCGCTCTCGGTCGGTCTCGAACAGTCTCGACCATCTCCACACCGGTCTCGACCAGTCTAGTGGCCTTTTGTCGAGATGTCAACCCCTTCCCTACACTCACTAGCCATTGGCCTTTGTTCCCCGAAGAAACTCTGAAAACACCAGGTTGTTTATAACCAAGGAGCCGGGGAAGGCAGATCCCTTAACCAGTACCGTGCCTGGTGCCCAGGCCGCGCTGCTAGAGCGTGGGCGCAGAAGGGACGGCGTCCTTTGAAGGAGTTGCCGGCTGCAAAAACCCATCTCAAGAGAACATGAGGCCTTGGTCGAAGTCCGAGGCCCCAGCGCTGGCTGTACAGCAGAAAGGAAGGCCCGAGCACCTGAGCGGAGATAGCAAGGCTGCTTTATGTTAAAGCCAGGCATGAGCAGATGTGGCGAGCACCGGCCATGCTTGAGGCCATGCAGGCCATCGCGAGGATGAGTCGCGCCATGTGGCCAGGACTCCTTGCACGTCCAAGCTGAGGAGCCCCTCTTCCCTCGTCCCTCGTTGTCCCTCGTCGCTCCTTCAAAGAGCCTGTGCTACAGGTGCAAGGAGCCTTGGCTGTGGAGCCAGGCTGCGGGCATGGAGTCACTTGTTTTGCTCCAAGGACAGCAGTCTCAACAGCGAGATCCGCAAATCTTGGATTTCCCCTTTTTCCGCGGCATGGTCTGTTGCGAGCTCATGGCGACATCGGAGGCGAAACGGTTGCCGAAAACGTGCTTCCAGTGCTTGCTGAAACACTCTCTTGCTGACGATTTCGACCTCCGGACTGCCTTACCTTTGGGCATCCGACCGCAGCTTGGGTCTCTTCCAAGCGGCCTGTGCCATCTGGGTGTCTGAAAGTTGCTTGCCCCGGGCAGTGCTTCTGCCCAAAGCTTTCTTCCGCAGCGACTCGGAGAAGGCAGCTGCCGAGAATTAACACCTGTTCAAAGGGCAGGTAGATTGAATGGAAACCATCACGAAACACTCCCGGTCATTTTGCTCGCCCGAACGTCAACAAGCCGACCACCTGCCCTTACACAGCACGCATGTTTTGAGACTCATCAAAACAAGCAGCGGTTCCTACCTACGACGATTGACGGACTGGGTGGTGCTTTGGACACTGGCTCCTTCGGGGTGGTACAGCACAACACACTTTGGGGCACCCTGCAGTAGTTTTAGTGATTTTAGTGGTAACAGTGGTGGTGTCTGCCGTGGGATCCTCCTACGTGAAACACATCTCTCTCTTCCAAGAACCGGAAAAGAGTCGGAAGCTGGCCACAAGGCCCGAATGCATTTGCCCACACGAAGTGCCTTACTTCAAGGCCTAGGTGACTCCGACAGAAAAAAGTTCGTCACTCCACTGGGTCGCGTCTGCCCGGAAGGAGAACGCATCTCAAAAAGCACCTCTTCTCCACGAATTTCGGCAGCTCTGAGCTAAAGGGCTCCCTCGAAGGGCAACCACGGCCCAGCTAAGGCACAGCCGACTGAAAACGGGGGCAGATCATGGCAGCCGGCCACACGCGAGGCATCCCGGGGAGAACCAGAAGGGCTGGGTTTGCTCGGCTTCCAGCTCCACACTGCTCCACATATCTGAGGATGATTCCCTTCAATGATTTCGCCCCTGATCCTTCAGCGAATTCAATGCGGAGTTTGCAACTAGCCTGCAATCCTCGCCGTTTGCCATAACGTCCTTAACATCAGCAGCTGCGACTTCAGTTGCTGGTCGATCGTCATGTCTCAACCAGATTGAGCTTTCCATTGCTGAGCTGAGGGCATTTGCAGTGAAGACAACCTGTGGGGACATCCGATGTGATATGCACCCACGATCTCGCGCGCAGTGTATTTACACCCCGCGCAGCCTCGACTATTCTGCTACAGTAGAAACCAAAGGCCCCACAGCCAAAACAGCTGCCTCTTCTTTGCGAGGCGCTTCATGTTACAGCACCTTGGGATGGAAGTCTGGAACGAAAGCTTGCAAACTCTCCATCACGGCAACATGTGCGTGCATCCGAGGCACTGCTGCTATAGCAGCAGCAGTGGCATCAAGTCAGGGCAGGACAAGTCTGCCACAGAAACCACAGCACATCCCGAAACGTTGCCTGTGTTACATAAACAGATAGTGTTTACAGTGTCCTGCTCTTGGCACTTGGACAAATTTGTGACTCTTGGGTTTCTGTGGCAGACTTGTTGCACTGCCGACTCACAGCTGAACGGAGCCCGGAAACGAGCACCTGACAGCTCGCAGTGTCTGCGTCTGCAACTCTCCTCGCTGTGCCATCCCGCCTTCTCAGAGAGCACGCCTGGGTCTGACATGACTTCTTCTGGGTCCTCAGGATGCTGAACACCGCAAAACTGTTGCTGCGCAAGAGATAGCTCCCGAAGTCGTTCCAGGTGTCTTCACGGTGTCTTGCTGGTTCCACTTGTCTTGCACCAACAAGCCAACCCAAACTGCGCCGCAAGGTCCTTGCACCGGATGAGCAGACGCCACATCTTCGGCATCTGCTCTCTCAGTCGCCGCAGTGGCGCGGCGGGCTTGGGCCTGCCCAACACGACGCTTTTGGGGAGGACCTTCCTTGCCCTGGCCTTGGCTTTGGCGGTAGCCCCAAACCCGTTCCCTGATCAGACTCTGGGCTGGGCCTCCATGGGTCGCGGTGCTCGACGCCTCAACTGAAAGTGAGGAACGTGAAGGGAGGGGAGCGCACTTCACACGACTCCATGCTGTGATCTCGTCTTTACGGCAATGGGTTTCTTTCAGACACGGTCAAGCCAAGGACATGAACAGGGACTGCAGCTGTGCTCCAAGGCCTCGACTCGCTGAGGTGCTCTGCACTGCCTCGTCATTCGTGACTAGACTCTGGTGCGGATTCGCCATGCAAAAGCTTGCAACCCGACAGCTGCACTCAAGAAGCGGGGGGCGCCAGAAAACGTGCAATCTGGAGACTTCCGCCACGATAGTTTTGACAGAAGCTGGAGCACGAATGCCGACCACTATTGATGATTGACCAACAAGTGCCTCTATCAGCATAGCACCCCCCATCTTCCAGCACGCTGTTGCTAGTATCAAGCCTTTCGGCAGATGAGGTGGACGGCGTGCATCATAGCCCATCCGCCCAATTTCATCACCTTGCCAGACATTTAACTGTTGCAGGCATCATTCGGACCCCCGGCTTGAAGCAAACACTTCTGCAAATGCTCTGACATTTCCTGACACACGCATTGGAAGAAGTTCCCAACGCAGAGGCCTCCGCTAGCCGCACCCGGCAGAGACTGGCGAAGCTCCCGAAGGTCGTACCTGTCAGGGGTGTACTGCCAGGAGGTTCGAGGCACCATCTTCGGGAGCTCAAGGCTTTCTGCACATTCAGCTCGAGCTGCAGAACTCGAAGCGGCCAACTTGAGAGGGTTCGGGTCCCATCAACTACATTGCTCGAAGACCCGTCAGCAGCATCAGCACTGGCACATATGATGGCTGAGGCTCAAAGCCGATATGCATACAGGGTACGAATCCCGTAGATCGCGGTACGCCAGAGAAGGAGACGTTGCACCTTGTTTACCATGAACACGAGCGGGCAGAAATGGAGGC